GAGAGCCTAATCTGCAGTCCCAGTTTCTCAGACCGGTTATTAAATCTCAGTAACAAAATAAATTGACAGTTTGACAAAATTTTACAAATTGAAATTAAACACGTGACTTTGTCATTTATGTACTGTATGGTCCCCATGTTGTTGCAAACCGCTGGTCTCGCCATGGGCTAAAATGATAGTTTGTGTTAATTGTGTGCAATTGAGTATTAATAATTGGTATTCACAATTTTTTGATGGTTTGTGTTTAAACTCAAATGTATTTTATTTGATGTATTTATGTATTTTGTCTGGAAGTATATGAGAATATTTTGTGTTATCGTCTCTTTTCTGCTCAGCCTGAAGTTTTGGAACAGCTCACAGGGTTAAAGGAGTTTTGGATTGATGGGAACAGACTGACATTTCTACCAGGGGTATGTATAAATTTTGCTTTCAGTAATCGTCAGCATGTTTCTGAAGTGACACTGCTTTAATCTTGCCTAAAACTTATGTGGGTGCAAAATATTTGAAATGTATGTTTTAATGTTAGTTTGCTTATACTGTACAATCCTTTCTTCTTTTAGGCATGCTAAATAATACTAGATTATTATGGGTTAAATGTGTTTGTGCTGATCTATGTAATATTTGGAAATAATTTACAGATATGTGAAGTATTCTTAATCAGAAGCACTGTAAAGTATATTTTTCCAAATGCTAAAGATTGTATATATTTAATTTCTTATTTCTAAGTTATTCCTTCTGTAAGATTATTAGGGGACTGTTACTTTGAATTCTAAATGTTTTGAAAATTTTAACTTCAGGTTTATAAATGTGATTAAATTATTCCAAAATATGGCCCATATCTTGGGGAAAAGGGTGGCTAAGACATGCCAACAGGTAGCTCTTTTATCTTTGCGGCTGCACAATTATTTGTTCATTGAAATTCTCATTGCTTAAAAAAGGTCAAAATGAGTTTACAAAGAAATTTGTAGAGGACAGAAATGTAATCAAAACAGGAAAGTAATGCTGAAATTAGAGTGAATTAATCAAATTGAGACAGTATCAAAGAAATCCTGTGATTTTAAATATACCACTGTGATCTTTGAAAGGGGGCTTGCTACTGCTTGCACAGTTTTGCAAATACTTTTTTTCTAGTTTTGAGAGAGCATTTTGCCAATTTTTTCTTCCTGATCTGCTGTATTGAAACCATTTTCTCTCGCTTTCACTCCATGTTTTGATTTAGCTTCGCTACAGCGCACAGGGTGAAGCCTGTAGATGTTTAACTAACGGTTATTACTGCATGACCGGAATGCATTTGAAATCTGTGTGGGGCTTTCATTTATTTAAAGTGGGAAGATTATTTTGTTGGCTTTTAATCTGCCGTTGCATAAATAGTTCCTGGATGGTTCTCTCTTGGTTGTGCTTATTCTTTTTACATGTAAAAGCAGAAACTGGAAATTGTACTTCCACAGAATAGAGTTAATTCCACATGTGATGCCTGTTGGTTGTCCTGTAACAGATCTGACGGATTGCTTATATCTTACCTCTTTCTTCTGCTTTTACATAGCAATTTATCCCAAATTCGTTCTGTCTCTCCCTTTAGTTAATTGGGTCATTAAAGCAGCTGACCTACCTAGATGTGTCCAAGAACAACATTGAGATGATTGACGATCGGATAGCTGGTTGTGAAAACCTGCAGGACTTGCTTCTCTCAAACAACGCGTTGGCCCAACTTCCTGGGTCAATTGGTTAGTACACTTTTACCAATGACTGTCCTTTTTCAATCTTTATGAAGCATTATAAAATTGGTTTGTGTGTGGGTTCCTCTCGCTTTCCAGGCAGCTTTGGGATTCTGTGAGTTCAAAAATCAGAATGGATGTGTGTAGTGTTACACACTGCCCATGCTAGTAAAAGGACCACTCAATGAAACATGATGGTCGTATCTCTTTAATCTTTGAAAATACTTTGATTCTCTAAAGGCTTCTTCAGTGGAGCCTAGACTGACCTGCAGGCTTTTAAGGACTGAATCCTCTTGTTCTTGCTCTCTTAAAGTCAAGGACTCTGGTGATCATGAGTGAATTTGCTTTCGGGAAGTTTAGTTGTGGGGGAATTTCTGTCTGGGTGTCTATTGTGTAATGTGGTCAGAGTGGGTGTAGTTACAGTCTTTCACATTACCTTTCTCATAGCCTGAAGCTATTCTTAACTCAACAAGAGAGGAACCAAAGTCCCATGATGTGTTTTATTCTATAATATTCTCCGCTTTTTTTCTTTAAATAAGTCCAGTTTTATTGGGATGTGAAAACGTTCTGTTTTAATCCTTTATTCCCAATATCAGTTCGACAGTCACTGATGTATGTTTTAAAATCCATTGCTGTTATTTTACTAAAGTATTTCACCTCTTTCCTAGTGTTATTCTTTTCTCACAAGTTCATATAGAAAAATTAGCCCTATATTAACTCCTATATATTTTGCATGTTAGGGTTTATGTAGAGCATGTATAATATTGGCATTTGTAGTCTGCCTTGACTAAAAGATGTTTCATAAAATTGAGTATTTCTGTAAATGTCACTTGTCGTAACTCTAGAATCCGCACTGAAGAAGCAATTCTGGACAAGGGATTCCAAGAGAAAACAGAAATATGATCAAGGACATACAATGATATATTTATGTTTTAGATCAGAGTTTTCCAAATATTGAGCAATTTTGAAATTGCTTACCAGTAATCATAATTGGGCTTTTTTGTTTTAAAACTTGTAGGCTTTTATTAATACATTTGTACATTATGGTTGTCTGAAAGATTATAGACAGTATACTTTAAGACTTTTAAACTGTGGCTGAAAAGGAGATGTTGTTAATTTAATACATTATTGTATTCATTACACTTGGTCATTTAATGCATTTAAATGGGATAGCTATGTATATTGAATAAAAGACCACTGTGTTTGGTAGCTGTTTTGTTCTCATAGCTGAGTAAGGATTTTGCGTAGAGTCACTTTCTGATTAAAGAAACAGCTTTGTGTTGTATTTGCCGTTTCCTTCACTACAGATCCATAAGCCATTCATCAGCACAGCAGCTTAATTCAGAGATTTATGCCTCACCAATGATGTCTGCTTGCTAGTCTTTAAAATCATTTTTAGCCTGAAGTCGTTATTGTGTTAAATGTAGCCATTCAGGATATATGCAGTATAATTACCTTGTTAAAAATGTAAAATGCCCTTTAGGTGAACTTTTGATTAAATATAGATGTATAACAGGGCTCAGTAGATGTTTTCATTACACATGCCATATTACAGTTTTCAACCTCAGTTAAGGAATGAAAGACAGCCCACTAGCCTGAGAAATCCAAGTTATCCATGTTAGTAACTACTTATAGTTAATTTCTGTCACAACAAAGATAGTTACACTTGGTGCCATGGGAACATGTTTTTTGGGAAGTTAAGAAGTTGCTTTTTGTCTTTGCTTTCTTTTACTTTTTTTATTTAAATGAGAATTGCATTACATAACAGCAACACTAAAAGCCTTTGGTATTGTGATGAGGAAAATTTCAGTAGAGCATAATTGTATAACATTCTATATGCTGTAAATTCTCATTAGCAGCTGTTCCTTTTTTTCCTAACTCATATCAACATGGACAAAACTCAAGGATCTGCAGAAGTATTTGTGTGTTCTTTGTAATAGATTTTTAGATTTTCACAAGCACCTTTTTCCCTTGCATCTTGAAAATCTTTTTCCTCACAATATTATAAGATAATATTGGGAAAATAATATTATAAAAGTGCCTTTACTAAAGACAGTGCCTTTTTACAGTAAACTATGTTTGTACATGTATTTATTTGTGATTAATTTGCTTTTTTTTGGACAGGATCTCTGAAGAAATTATCTGCGCTGAAAGTTGATGAGAACCAGCTAATGTACCTGCCAGATTCTATAGGAGGGTGTGTATTTAAACTGTTATACCAGATTTACTTGACAGGAATAAGTCTGAGCATGTTTTTTCTTTGGCCAAGAATTCAGGCTCCATTGTTCCTTATATTCATCTACTGCATTAGTAAACACCTGTCCTGGGTATTTGAAAGTAGTGATGTAAACGTCATATGACACTTGAGCTCACTGGAGACCTAACTAATTTTCCTCCACTGCTTTACGGGTTGGTTTTGGGTGCTCTGTAGAACAGCCTCAATCTTTTCAGCAGTACTCGCCGATGATGAACACTAATCCATTCTGTCTGAGTATTTTGTTGTGACACTTGTGGATTTTAGTTGCTTTTATTTGCTATAAATACCTTTGAAATCCAGACAGTTGGATTAAACATTGTGGATTAAACAAAGCAGGACATTGTTTTATAGAGACTAAAGCCGTTTATAGGGACTTAGCACTACTGTAAGTGGAGAAAGTAGTTGTCCATATGGACCAAGAAAGGGATTAAAGTTTAATCATGGTCCTGCTATTTATACAATAGCCTGAAACCTATCCTAAATTAAACAGGCAGAATCTTCACTCGGAGGTGAAACTCTTCTCTTGTTTCTGAAAATTTAGATTTGCTTTCAGATGTTTTTTGTGATAATAAATTCCCTCTTTTCAGTGACCCTAATTATGACTATTGAATCGCCTTACCTCAGTTTGTTTATCAGTGCTGCATTAGTGAAAGCCACTGTAAGGATTATAAATATGGGATTGCAAAGAGTCTGTTGTAATCCCTGTAAAGACTGTAAACCAAACTGATTAAACCTATTTAATTTTTGACTTCTTATTTGTGCTTTACATTCAGTCACTCATAATTACAGTTATGCTTTATCTTTTTTTTACTAGTTTTAAGAATTAAATTCTGTTTTGTAGAGCAAAACAATCTGAATGGGATATGTCTGAGGCCGTTATATAGGCTTTGAATGTTGAAGCAGACAGCCAGATGAACATTAAACCCTTTATCTTCTTGTGACCGAGTTGATTATAGTCAGTTCAAATATTTTTTGTGCCTCCTGTCTGGCCGGTCTTGTGTATAGTTGATGGATCAACCTTTACACATTCATTTTATGGGACTTCCGAAATGTTCCTAACATACTGAAGGTCTTGACAGATTCTGGTGAGCGAAAGTGTGGGTCTTGTTCTGGAGATAGCAGCTCCCGCAGGTCAGCATTCAGTCCAAGTGCCACACAGGAGGGAACTTGGACTGAAAAGAAATTGACTTTTGAATAGAAAAGGTTCAGTCTTCCTTTAATCAATCTCTCCATAAATTTGAGCTTGGTAACTAATGAAGGGTATAAGAATGTTTGTACACACCATGCTCCTTAGAAACAGTAGAGATCTGTGAACAAGGCTTTTGGTCGGAGGGAACGACATCGGAGGTTTTGCAATATCTGAAGCCCCACTGGCAACCTTCTCTTGATGTGATATAGGGATCTACTCAGGCTATGGAGCCTGATATTTAAAAATCTGGAGTCTCAGAGAAAAAATCCATGGGCTAGACTGGTATGTCTCAGGTCTATAGCTCTGTATTTGGAAACATACTGAGATCTCTGACAACAGCTGACATCGAAATCCTTTGTATTTATAGCTCTACTACACAAACCCCTAATTCAGCACTTTGGTGTTTTATTCAGCATCTTTTCAGCAATATTTGAAGATGTCTCAGTTTGTTTCCTATTTTGCTTTTTTCCTGTTTTTCTGATGAATGTAAGTATGAATGGCAGTCCTCTGCCTGCAATAAATATCTGTATAAGATATTGGAAGAACCTGTTTCAGTGATGGTTTTGATCCCGGGAAGTGTGAGGCCAGCTTTTGAAAAAGCAGTGCTGATCTTACATTTATTCTGCAAGAGAATGGTTGGATACTTCTTGAAATGTGAGCTCAACTTTTTGTTTTTTTATTTTGGGAAAGAAAGTCCGTCTAACAAAGCACTTGACTCAGATTTGCTTCAGCATTAATTAACACGCATTGAAAGAAGGCTCAATTAAATAATTAGATTGTATTATCTCAGCAGGGGTCAATTTTGATTTGTTTCTTGCCCTCCCGTTTTCAGCCTCTTGGCACTGGATGAGCTGGACTGCAGTTTTAACGAAATTGAAGCTTTGCCGTCATCCATAGGGCAGTGCACCAACCTGCGCACATTCGCTGCAGATCACAACTTTCTGACACAGCTGCCTCCTGAGGTAATGGCATCAAAAGAGTCATCTGATGGCTCAGAATTTAAGCTTCATCCACAAAATTGGGTTTATTGTTGAAAAATTTTATTTTTTAATGAGATATAATGTGTTGATAATGATATGCTACCAATGGAATACTGCTGTTTAGAAATTTCGAGAACAGCTGAGTGTTTCCCAGGATTTTTCCTCGATGACAGACTTACAGTGAAGACATGAGCCCGTTTCAGGCTGAAAAGAGGGAAACTGGTATCGCTGTTAAAATAAATTCTATTTTTTGCGCAAAATGTCAGAAATTGAAACGGAAAACGTAAAACTCTCTTGTCCTTGTCCTCTTGTATTGTGCAGTTAGCCATTACTGAATGTTCAAGAGGCCATTTAACCCTGGCCTACAGTTTTATTTTCAGATAAAAGTACTCTGTCATAGTGTTAAGTAATAAGGTGCTTATAACACAAATGCTTATTGTGTTTGATGACAAATATTTTTAATTCAAAGCTTCATGCCCTATGTTTTTTTCCTTTTAAATAAAAAATGTGTGATTGTATTCTTCAGATACAATTTGACATTTCAATCCATGTTTAAAGCAGTATAATTCTTACGATTTTGAGCCTGCCATGTTACCAAAACATAACTGCAATAAAAGGAACTGTTGTTTTCTAGGCACTGTCTTATGGCATTTCATGAAAATGTTACTCTTAAATTTAAGTTTGCATGGAATTAGGTACATTTGCATGAAAACAAACTGCACTGTGACAGGTGCTTTGCATTTCCATTAACATACCTGAGGTACAAATGCTTTGTTTTCTTGATAAGCAGGATATAATGTTCCTTTATTTATTTTTCTTGAGTAATGTACACCAGAATAAACATTTAGCAAGAAATAAACAACCTTATCGCCTGTTCCAATTAAATCTCTCTATGTAATGTAGTGCTTATGCAATGATCTTTAAAAACATTTACAATTATTGTTACAGAGCTTGTTTTCTCTAACCTACACAGGTCATTGTTTAAGTATTTTTTAACATGAGAGCTCCATATACAAATATGCTTTACTATTCTTCACAAGAAAATAAATTGAATTCTGCATCTCGTTGCACAACTGCAGATTGGGAACTGGAAGAATGCGACAGTGTTGTTCCTACACTCCAACAAACTGGAGCACCTGCCTGAGGAAATGGGAGACATGCAGAGACTAAAAGTTATCAATCTCAGTGACAACAAGTGAGTTATACTTCTAATATCTCAATATTTTCCCAAATTATATTTTTTCTTTACTTGGACTACAAATTGAGGACAAATTGGATGTCCTGTTCGTGGCCAAGCAATCTTCTTAACCACTTTATCTAATACAGGATTGTGGGGGAACCAGAGCCTATCCCAGCAAGCAACAGGCAAAAGGCAGAGTACACCCTGGACATCCACTGCAGGGCACACACAGACATGCACACACTTGCACCAGGGCCAATTTTCCCAGAAGCCTCTTAACCTACCTGTATGTCTTTGGACTGTGGGAGGAAACCAGCACCTGTAGGAAACCCCCATGTAAACACAGAGAGAATATACAAACTCAACACAGATAGCAACCCAGGAATTAAATCCAGGGACCCAGTGCTGCAAAGCAACGATGGTATGTACTACACCATTGCTCCACTGCAGTACATTCATTTAGCCAGCTAATGATATTTTGGAAGTCAAGAAGAGAATGTACTCTGAAGGTGCCTTGTGTGGGTTCTGGAGTAGCTCATCCAGCAGAAACCTGCCGTGAGTGAACCATGAGCCTTGGAAACAGACCAGAACTGGATCAACTCTAGGCCAGCACTTCTGGTGCAGCAGTAGTGAAATCATTACAGGTTCAGTGGTGTTTTATGATGTTAACAGTTGAGCGCCATCTTTGAGGTACTTTCTGTGTCATCCCCTGTGAGGTTTAGTTTACTCCTTTGTATTGAACATTATTCACTAATAAAAGCAGAACTGTGTTTCTGGTGGTTGACATGGATAGTGTAGTCCTGGAACAGTGCTTGCAATTATATTTCTCCCATAACGGACACCATAGACTTGATAGCAAAGCTTGTTATGTCAATATATGGTCCTTAGTATTCCTCTTTTACAACAAAAAGAGGGATCTTTTTCTCTTCTTAAACCAAAAATCTATTTTTTTGTTCAGTTTTGTGGTCTTCCAAATGGAGTATTTGGTGTATTTTGTGGACATCTTATTGACAGGATCATCTGCAAAAAATGTTCTGCGATTCTGATTCAGAGTTGATTGGTCTAGTGGTTCCCTATAGTTAATAATTTGTAGCCAGTTTAAGAATTAAAGATGGTGACGGAAGCCATCAAAACATCAAAAAAGAGAAATAGAAATTATTTAATTGTACCTGGAGTGTACACTTGGTGCATACTGTAGTGGAAATTAGTAAACCCAAAACGATAGTGATGGGATTTTGTCTTGGACTTGCCTTCACCATATTCCAAGATATCTATTGGAATTCATGGAATGTAACATGTATGTATGGCTTTTAAAAGTGTCTTGGGTGTGACAGATAGAGCGAGATTTCATTGGCACATTTTGAAGATGTATTTTTAGCCACCATTTGTTATTATCCACAGTCTTAGATGGTTTTCCATACAGCTCCAGTTCCAGTGCCCATTTTCTTCATTTGTTCAGCTTTAGTCACTTTGACAGGTTCTTTATTACATCCCAGTGGTATCTTAATGCTGATCTTCATTCTTTATTAAGATCACTGCCTCTGTTTACCCCTGCTGGGAAATCAACTGGATCAGCAAACACTGCAGAAGCCAAACCTGTCAAGATGAGGTTTCCCTTGTAAATATATGGTGATAGGGGATTATCCAACCATTCCAAGTACAGAAATGTTCAGGAAAGCCAGAAGGAATCACTGTTTTTAATTTCACTCTCGGGAAAACAGTTACATTAAATACAACATAATTGAGATGCATTTGTTTGTGTGGATGCTTATTTGTGATTGTTTGGTGACAAATGTTCTCTGTGGGAGAGAAAACAGTGTGTTGTTAATGGATCTTTAATGACATAATCCCTCAGAATTTAGACATGGCTCTGCAGGGAATTTTAAATCACTGGGAAACCGATGGTCGCCAATAAAAAGAATGAACTGTCTAAATTTTGTTTTCAAAGCACCAGGTATGCCTGGTGTTTTACATTATTTGAAGTTAACATGGTCAGCTTCTATCAGGCCCTTGTTGCGGTTGATGTGATATACAGTTTTTTAAATAAAAAGTGCCATAACATGCAACTCTCATTCTACCAGGTTAAAGAATTTGCCCTTCAGCTTCACCAAATTGAGCCAACTGACTGCTATGTGGTTGTCTGAAAACCAGGTGGGTGACTTTACAATTCAGGTTTCACCTCATATTCACTGTGCACTGACAATAGCGGACGCTATTCACCCTTGTCACCCTTGTCAATTCAAAAGTGTCTTTCCTTTTAGTTGAGACCATAATCGCTCACCTGTTATTGTTTGGTTACTCTGAAGAAAAGGCTTCAATCCTCTGAAGATGTATAGTATACATCAAAGAATGTCTTTTCATCCCAGTATATGAAAATTATTTTAGGTCTCCATCTTCCGCTTCCCCCTTTGGGAAACCAATGCAAAGTTCTATCAAAGAACAAACATATCCTTATTCTCTAAGGAGCAGTGTTTCTACCCCATAGACTAATCTTTTCAGATTTCAGAGGCAAATAGAGGCTGGTCAATACTGAGATGGAGAACTCTTAAGAAAACCAGGTTACTGTGTAAGTGTTGCTGCCCCAGCATTGCAACTTAGAAGTCCTTGTTCCATCCTTCAGACATTAAACTCCTTAGGATGACAGATGTCCTGACCCAGGTGTGATTTTTAACTTCTGTGATCTGGCTAAATTCTGCTTTGTGCTATTAAGCCCAATTTGGTCACCCATTATTCGGCGTCTCCACCTGATCTGCTTTGTTTTGAGGCTGCAGGTGCTTAGTGTGTAAGATACCACACTGCAGTAGTGATTAAAGTGTGTCCCCTCCCAGTCTGCTGGGGGATCTTTTGTGCTGAAAAAGTTATCCGTATAATTAATTAAGGTGCATTTATGACAATGATATTACTATTATTATTATTACCACCTATCTGTTATTTCCTCAGAGGACACATTTGTAGCTACTTTTTAAAATTTCATTTAAAAAACAATGCAAACTCAAGGATTTGAGGAAAACCAATTTTACTGCCTCTCCACATTCTTTTCCATCTTATCTGTCTCACTAACTCTATTATTCACGTGTTCCTTTTTAGTTTCATTACAAACTAACCCTTCTAAGGTTCATTTTATTGTCATTCTGCACTTATGCAATGTACAAGAGAGAAGGAAATATAGTTCCTCCTGGGCTGCAGTGCACAATACACTAGAACAATACGCAATACGCAATACGCAATACGCAATACGCAATACGCAATACGCAATACGCAATACGCAATACACAGTACATTAGAACAATTGGAATAATGTCTCAGAACAACACAGAAGAACACACAGGAGGTGAGTGGCAGTCAAGTCTGCAGTGCAAAGTGGATTTTCTATTGAAAAAATAACTTTTCTATTAGTTTCTACCTAAAGCTTTTTATGACAAAAAACAACATGAAACAGAAACCTGTGCTGGTTAGAAAATAGTGATGAATATTAGAACTGCCTTAAAGGTTCTTATCAGGTTTAGTACAGATCTGTCTTTTTATGCCCTGTCAAAACTGCTCTTGATTAGTTTCCTACCTTTTCTGACTCTGTGGGAGAGACTAGGAGTTTAGGAGGTCAGAAGTTCATTTGCCAACTTCTCTGCGATGGAGATGGACAAACAGTGATACTAGGGCACTGCCATTTACCCTGGCAAGATAGGAAAATATTATTGGCATTTGATCTTACTTGAATTGTTACTCACAACATGTGCACGGCAATAAAATTGAACTAGCTCATATCTATAGCAAAGAAAAACTTTCTTTAATGTGCTTTTATGAAGATATTTTTTTATTGTTCGTAAAACATGCTGAATAGGCTATGGAGTTGTGGTTCTTGGAGCAAGTGGTTTGTCAGCAGCAGGACTTCTGGTGTGAGAAATGTTCATTTAAAGGTTGAAGAAAGATCTACTCTAGCAGTTAAGAAGTAAATTCTGTTCTTTAATAAAACATGACCTGGAAACCACAAGTAGTGAAATAGTTCCACCGTATCTAATCTGAGTATGCCATATGGTACAGGAACTTTGCTCTAAGGCAGAGTCTAGTAAAAGGTTTAGCAGTTTTTGAGTGAAGCAAGGTTTGATGTATAATGATGTATATTATTTGAATTTTGTGTTGATAGAATTTAAGAGAAATGCTGCTTATTTCGTAGGCTCTTTATGGAAATGTACACAGGTGTGCATAGTGTTTGCGTGTGAACGAAAATGCATTTAAGGATTCACTTTATTGTTCCAAGCATTTTTTGATGATTGAGACTCATAGCCACATGTGCTCAAGTGAAAATTACTGCTTACCAGCTGGTCCCCATTGAACGTCACTGACACTCTTGACTCCTTTGCAAGCCTGTGCTAATATGCAGCTCAGGCAGCTGATGTTGACAGGGGAGTTCTCTTACCAGACTAGCTGTTTCTCGTATTACTGTTCATTCCTTAATTTTACAGGTGCATATTCATAATCCCGCTTTATAAGATAGTCTCAAAGGAAATGCAGGGCTGTTACATAACTGTATTGAGTTGAGGGGTAGAAATGGAATACTCAAAAGCTTGGTTACCCCAGAACTCCTGAAGGTTATCCAAGGCCTGAGCTCTGTAGAAGGGGACAGGCTTGGATTTATAATTGGATTATGTTGATAAAATATTTGTCCTTGTCCTGGTTCTGCTCGTATTTTCTTTTCAAATTTTTGTTCTCTACTCCCAAGGTTTTATACGCATCTAGATAACATCATGCTGCTGAAGGCATGTCTTGTCAGGGCCTGAAAATTCTTCCGTCCAGTTGAAAGTGTAACATGAAACGGCAGCATTCTCCCTCACCTTGCTTTATTTTCTCCTCTAGTCCAAGCCTCTGATACCCTTGCAGAAAGAGGAAGACGAGGAGACACACAAGACTGTTCTCACCAACTACATGTTCCCTCAGCAGCCCAGGACTGAGGACTGTAAGTTCCAATGTTGATTCAAAAGCATCACTTAATGCCAGGAAGCTATAGTCATGTTAATTATAAACTGATGCTTGACATTTCCCTTTCCCTACCATCTGAAACGCTGATGTAAAACTTGAGTGCCATTGAGTTATTTGGGGATTCCAGCATTATGCTGAATTATGTGTCACAGAATACCCTTTACCACAGAATCTCAAGGGGTGGAGAGTCTGGCTTTACTGGTAGACCTACTTTTCCTATTTGTCACTAGAACAGCAGTGCTATACATGTAAAGTGAAGATTTTACCTTCTTGCAAAAATGACAAAAATGTATCCAAAATATAGCTGACTGGCACTTTCTGTTCCTTTCTTAATTCCCTGCCACATTTTTACCAGTTTTCTTTGTGAAATGTAAACATACCAAGGAAATTTTGTATATGATACGAAGGGAAAAGGTATATACATGTAGATTAATTCACATTGAATATAGATTAATGGTGAATAAACCATTTTTCATTGTTTGTTCCAGTGTTAACAAACTAAATGCTTTTTTAATTAAATGCATTTTGTCTGTATAATGCTTTAATGCTAAGTAATTCTTTTGATTTCCACCCAAGTAGACAGTTTAGTATAAGAAAAAGTGTATTGTAGAGACAGGTCTTATTTAGGAAGAACAATTTGAATTGTCATCTTGAATTAATAGCTTTGCATTTTACTTTAAATGTTTTTGCAGTGGACACAAAAGCACCTTTGGTAACTCGTGCAACCATAAAACTTTCCCCAAGATTGCAACATCAGGATAGTGGATAGGAAACAAACATATTTTGCAAATTAAATGTCCTTTGATTACAAATCATTGATTGCTACAGTTTGTGATGAACTTGTTCAATTTATATCCATTTTCGTTAAAAGTTCTCAATGCTTATGGAAACTTTGGGATATTGTTTTGACGGAATTGAAACCTTCTTCCAATCTGTATTGACTCACAGATGCGCAAAACTCTGATAACGAGAGCTTCAACCCCTCACTCTGGGAGGAGCAGAGGAGACAGCGAGCACAGGTGGCCTTTGAGTGTGATGAGGACAAGGATGAGCGAGAGACACCTCCTCGGGTCAGTGGGTCTTAAAGACAGCTGCTGCACTAATATTGTGCTGGAAAGGGCTAAAAGTATTACTGCTTCCTTGTTGCGCGCATGTGTTCTTATTTTGTTGCTGTTTTTAACTAGGCCTTTCCATCCGTTATAATCCACAGCCATCGGAAGTGGCTTGTTAAGGATTTATTCTTGGGCATTTAAAAACACAGTTAGAGAGTGAAAGGTCTTAGTCATATGCTTAGCCTTGGAATAGAAAATCGTGGTAGAAAACAGACAGGTGGAGTTAAAAATGACCCGATCTTTCTGTCAGTGTCCACATGATGTTGTTGATTTGGGCAAAATCCCTCTTACTCTTACACAATAGACTATGCTCTTTTCTTCTTATTTTTCTTTGAATCAGCTTTACTGTGATCAGCATTTACGGTGTTTAATTTTAGATTGCTTTATGAGGTAACGTATTTGTTTCTGAAGCTGACATGCATGTCAAAAATGGCACCACATCTTCTGAAGAAAGTATCACAAATTGTTTATCCTGAAATTGAATTAACTGAAAACAGTGCTTTATATGCAAATTCCCTTAAATTTAAGTAACGTCAGAAATCCATTGGTTTTTTTTTAACCGTCTAGCTGAAGTGTACTTCACCATAAAGACTACTTTTGAGGGTTTCATAACATATCAGTGAGACTGTCTTGTGTGGGCAGAATCTACAAGTAAAAGGTACATGGATGCTCAGACAAGATGGATTTCCGACAGCATGTTCGCAAACTTTCATGATGCTCACAAGATGTCTCCTTCTCTCTCCCCAAAGAATCTGTCATTCTGTCTGGCAGCATTCTGTAATTCTTTTTGTATTTTCTTGCTCGATGGCTCAGGAGGGTAATCTGAAGCGCTACCCCACACCTTACCCAGACGAGCTGAAAAACATGGTGAAAACCGCTCAGACGATCGCACACCGGCTGAAGGAGGATGAGTCGTCGGACGAATCTGGTAAAGACACAAAGCAAAGCGAAGATACCACTGTCGCAGTACGAGATGTTGGAGTAAAGGTGGGTGAAACTGGGATAACAAAAGATGTCATAAGCTAACAAGCAGCCTATCCTTAGGTTTTTATGGTGGATCAAAACTTTTTTTTCAGGCAGCCAGCAGTGCCAGTAATATAAACCAGTCTTTGTGGTTTATGTTTTGTCAGACCACATTCAGAACTACATTGTTCTTTCCTCCACTTGCTGATATCGATGAAGATTGTGAAGACCTTGGTATTAAACAACAAAACATTAGGAATGGAAAGGAATGAATGTGCCTAGACAAAGTTCAAAGGCCTCTGCAATAAGTGAGGTGTTGTAAACGCTCTTTTTGTTTGGCCAGGCTTCCGAAAGCTGTGCAAACGGTCAGGCAGTGGAGATGGATCTTAAAGCAGCTGCAAACTGCATCCCAAAGCCTAGTGACCTTGATTCCAAGGTTGCTGTAGAGACATCACAGGCAGCTGCCCTTCAGATCCTGGACAATACAAGAGCAGCAGTTAACCATGAAGATACTCTTGAGGTATGATGTTGTGACAGATCACACTTCGCTATGGGAAATTGCTTTTCAGTATCAGCTCAAGTCAGCTAACCTGTTAGACTGCACGTACACCGTCAGAAAATGCCCTTCAATACGTTTCTAGTTTAGCAGCTGCATTTGTTTCCATGGGATACCGCTATTTGTCATTTGAAAAGGATGGGTTTCATCACAGTTGTACGTCCAGGTGTTTTCTTGAGAACATGGGATTTCTGGTATGTTAATAAAATAATTGTGGCCTTAAAAACGTTAGACAAAACCTGGTGGATAGGTTGCAAAAAAGTACTAAAAAGTGGGTAACCATTTGTTCTGGTTAGAGTGAATTTGAGCAGGGAGCCTATACCATTTAACCCTGCATGGTTTAAATAAGTTTGTACCATGAAAAAGCATTTATGTTTGAAATAGTTTGCCTATAATGGGATTGACATGGAGTAAATGCAGTTAACATTCAACATTCAGTTGAACAGTTGAAAACTGTGGAAAATTACTTTTTAAATAAGAGCAACATTGTCATCTTTCTTCCATGCAAAAGCCATATATCAGGTTGTTATTTATGCATATTTTTGGAAGAGAGCACTGCAAAATATGTTGAATTTGTTGTATATATTTACAGGAAAAGGTTTTAAACAACCCTCTGGTATTACAATTTCCTTGCAATGGAGATTTTTAGAAAATTCTTTTTTTTGTTTGTTTATTTGTTCTGTTTATTGCAGTGTGGTCTGCTTTTTCATCTTCTTTATTTTATGGAACCTAATTAAAACTCTAGAAAATAGGTTGGTGCAGAACAAATCTAAGCTAACTTTTACATTCAGCTTTTGAGCCCTCAATGGTTTCAAATGCTTTAAAATTCAATCTGCAACTGTCAGCTATTTAAATGCCTTTGAACTTCTCTAAAATAATTGAGTGAAGTTGGTTGGCAGTCTCCAGGCATTTATACAGCATAATTAATATTCATAAATAGGAATTACATAGTTGTTGATAAGAAGTGAGCCTGCTAGTATTGCTTTTCTAACCAGTAACTCATAGGTCACAGTACATCCACAGGGGATATTAAACACTGGAAAACAACACAGGGGTGTTTTATGTATTCAAGCAGTTTTAAAAGTTGTAAAACATAAGCTGGTTGTTGATGATTATTTTTAGAAGTGTATGATTCTACTGTTTCTGTGGTTTTCAGTTTTGTCCTTTTATCTGGTTTCCTGTAGGTTTCTGAACAAGAAAAGTGAAGAGGTGTCTTAATTGCATTTTCTTTCTTTTTTAAGCTCACTAATCCAGTACATACTGAAGACTCTCATAGTATAATTTAAGAAGTGTATTGTATTTTTTTAGTTTTTTTCTTGAAGCTATATAAATAACATTTGTTTGACCACATTCAGGAGTAGCTGCGATTCAGCATTAACCCAGTGTGTAACCCAATAACGTATAGATCTTGGAAGCCATCCCAGATACAAATACTGTATGTCATTTTCATTACAGTAGAATATGTCATACTGGGAAGATGAACACAATTCCACAAAGTGACGCTGAGACTTAATAGCTTGATTATAGCAGAATGAGAATTGCTTTTGGCACATGTGAAAAGGTGGTAACCTTCATTTAACTTTTATTTCTCCAAGCTGTAATACAGAAACCTATAACTTGTTTCCTCCAGGACTCTGAGGACTTGTCTTCTGATGAGGAGGAGATGAAGATTGCAGAGATGCGTCCTCCTCTGATTGAGATCTCAATCAACCAGCCCAAAGTGGTGGCTCTGAGTAAAGACAAGAAAGGTACAGGCATTAACGTGATCTTTTACTTGGCTAGTGTTGGTTCACTAATGCTCCAGAGTCCTCCCATCTTCCAAAGACATGCTGGTTTTGGTTAACTGGGGTGTCTAAATTGTCTGTGTGAGTGTACCCAGTGGTGTGTGTCCCATCCTGGCTGTGGTTCCACGCAGACCCAGTTGGTTTTTTAATCGGTTTTAATGAATGAACGGATGATTAAAGCGACCATTCATTTAGTCAAGCTAACATACACAGTGAAGAATACCATGTCACTTTTCCCACATTATCTACTTTTTATAAAACGGTCATGTGTATTCTTTTGTTTAGGAAATAACTATTGAAGCTCATTGTGTGGTGTATCTATTATGTAAAATGTTATTGAAATTGGGTGGCATGGTGGCCCATGCTGGAGCCCTGGGTTCAATTCTAGACCTGGGGTGCTGTCTGTGTTGGGTTTGTATGTTCTCCCCATGTTCACACGGGTTTCTTCCGGGTTCTCTGGTTTCCTCCCACAGTGCAAAGACATACCGGTAGGTTAATTGGCTTCTGTAAAGATTGGCCCTGGTGTGAGTGTGTGCGTGTGTGTGTTTGTGTGTCTGCCCCATGAGATGAACAGGAGCCATGTCCTGGGTGTACCCTGCCTTGGTCCCATTACATTACTGTGGCCCCCCTGTGACCTGAATTGGATGACGTGGTTTGAAATTAGTGGCATGTAGAACTTGTAGTGATGTGTTGTTTTTACTCTGGTCCTTTTGGATCATCACACATTTTTTTTGTTAGTGATAGTTATAGCAGCTTAGTAAGACCAAGACTGAAACTTTTTTAAAACACTTCCATTCCTGCAGTTTCACTTTTATAGTTTCTTCAAGATATTTTATCATTTTACATATGTTTTGTGGCTCATAAATCTGGTATAACTGGAGCTATGAAATGCAGTTTCCTTTTTGGAATTGAATTTGTTGAATCCATTAAAAACACTATTAATTTTATCATAGTGGTTCTAAATTGTTCAAAAGCTGGTATTTAAAATGAATTTTCTAGCGTGTAAGTTATTTAAATGCCCAAAAGTAAAATGATGAATGTATAGCAGAAGTAATGGTTGTTGCATGTCATTAAGCTGCATCTTGAGGAGACACTCAGGGAGCCTAACATTCCCTGTACTGTACTTCCAGATGAGAGTAAAGATTCCGACTCTTTACTGGAGGAAAGCGCTGTAAACAGTAACCAGAACAACAGCAACTGTTCTTCACCATCCCGCATGTCAGACTCGGTGTCCCTCACCACCGACAGCAGCCAGGACGCCTCCCTCTGCACGCCAGAGAGAGAAGCCAAAGTCATGATCATCTCCAAGATCAGGTGAGATGGAAATGGAGGTGGGCTGCACTGTCCTGTGTTTTGCTTGTGTGTGTTATTGTTACTTAAATCTCTTGTCTTGGCAAGGTCTTGCTGCTCGACTTTGAACTCTCGTTTCCATCCTTTGATCTTGGTTGACTGTTTCAGTTCCTCAAGAGAAAACGAAAGAACTTGTGAAGAATGTGTTCCTTTACCACTACAGCAAGACTATAGGCTTTACTATAGCCCCTTTATAAAGATTATTTTTTAGTACTTGCAGTCTGCAAAAATTGGCTTCCAGTTGTCTTGTTTGTGTAATTACCTATACACGTTGTATGTTATGAGCTATAGGCTATAGGCTCATCGTTGATATACAGTATATCATTTATATTGTCACTCTGTGGCTAGTATCAAATATTGTATATGTCTGTTAAAGTACCGTATGGGATATTGCCACTTAATGTAGTTCTCTGGGATGATTGTAAAGGAATACTGTGTAGAAAATGTAATCTGGTGTTTCAGTTTGAAATAGAAATGTTACTGAAGTAATTACAGGGTTTCTGACAGTTTTAAGAATTTATGACTGGACTGAATAGTTTTTCAACTTCATAGAAATGTTTAAATTAGAAGTTTTTTTTCCACTTGGTTATGAAGTTATATGTTTTTGTGGGTTTGTGGTGTAACCATGTTAATATATTAATGTTTTTTTAATGATACACAAGGATTGAAGAACAGTAAGGAAATAAATCTGTAGGAGATTAAAGTGCATGAAGCTTAACATACCATCACTCTTTCATAAAAATAGTACAGAACAGGAAAAATCTGAGTTCCATGAGGAATGGGGGGTGCCAAACCATCAAACATGCCAGTTAAGTCAAGAGTTAAGTATTTTACAACATAATTGCATTGTACAACTCACTCCAGGTATGTTTGCACTTCCAAATGTAAGCATTATTATGACTACATTAATTTTTGTTAGTACTGTAGTATTGCAATATTATTATTAAAGTGTACCTGACTTTAATAAAACTGTACTTTAAGCAAAAAATATGTAACAGAGCTTCACATACTTGAATTTCTAGTGTTGGCTTGCTTTTCAGGTCATTAGAATGTCGTGGTTAAAAGGGTAACACTGCAAGCGCAGCGGAAGGTATTCCAGACAATGCACATGTAAGAAGATACACCCGAGAGGCAGTAATAAAGCTTTTACTGTGGTATACTAAAACTTCACATAAACATACCCCTGAACTGCTTCTGCAGAAGGTCCGTGTCAGCTTGCAAGTCCTTTATGATTTTCCCTTACTGCTCTCTACCTGGAGCTCTGCCCCTGGCTTTCAGCTGAAATAGTCTATAAACCATTACAGTCACATGGTATCATGTTTATGAAGGTGTCATAACTGTTTTTTTAGCCTTATTCAGGTAAACCAAAAATCTTATTAGTGGTAGATAATTGGGGTGTTTAGATGGATCCACAGATTTTTTTCCAAGCATGTGTAACTACAGTGCCATGGCCTAATTGGTACATACTGTAGTACATTATTCTGGGAGATTTTTAATCTAAATTACTGAAGGTTGCCTTTTGTCATGTTTTCTTCCCAGATCAGAGTGTCCAGTGGAAGAAGTGTATCATATGCTCATATGTATTGTATGCTCAGGCTGCCTGCCAACATTAACATGAATCGTTGCTATGGCCAGGAGCCATATCTTTTCCCTACATTAGAAAAACAGACATCTCTTAGTTACTCCCTAGATTGCAGAATGCACCTAGATAGCTAAAGACCACAGGTGCCCACAGTGTTACTGCTTCTGGCATCTGTGTCCCCTAGGCCTCAAAGCCAATGCACGTTGCTTGTAAGAACAGAAATGTACTCAGTGTAGCTCTACTATGAATAATTCACACTTTTCTGATTTGTCAGTGTGTGCTGGCTTGTTGGTCTTGGCTCAGAATAAGGCACCCTCCCTTATAGCAAGAAATATTTTTTTTCTTTTCAAAATGGGGTTTTAACTAAGGGGTTCTGATAATCATATTGTCATACATTGTTAACAGCTTTGTGACATATTAGGAATTCTTTAAATCATCTGACTGTCTCAGGTTGTATTTATGTTCTTAAAGAAATTAAAGTTGACAAAAATACACAGAACATAGATTTTTGTTCCTACTTGCACATACACATTACAGTATTACTAGTTGTAAAATGTGAGTCACTTTTGAAAAGCCTATGTAATTCAAGTGAACATACCAGGACAGTTTTATAAATGTAAAATGGACAAACATAAAGACGACACATTATGAATTTAAATGTTCCAGTAGCATAGCAGGTTACGGTCATTAGATATATTCATGTGAAGTGGAAAAATCAAATTGTGCTCTTCAATTTAAAATCACTTACTTACCAGCACCAGAGAGTAACAGCTTATAGCTCTAGTGACCCTCTCATGATAATATGCTTACTGAAGGTGGATTGAAGTGTTAATTTGTTTTTTTTTTACTGTTTTTACATAGAATTGTGGTTCTTTCAGCATATAATGCAAGCTTCAGAAGTCATATTTCCAGATGTTCACACATGCTTTTTTTAAGATACCATTTTTTAGAGATTGTTGGGTGTATTAAAAAGTCAGATTCTATGTATATAACCAAAAAGGTGCCAAAGGTCACATCCATTCTTGGAGATGGACATTGGTGGAATGGAGGGACGATGCAAGAAGTTTGTCAACTCAAGCCTTGCTGTTTTTCTTGAATCAAAGGGTTTTTGAGAAGGCATTCCTTCAGTTCTGTCTTTTTGATTCTAGGCAAGAAGATGAAAATTTAAATCAGCTGGAAGAAACAGCATCCCTGCTGCAGAATGGAAATGGGTCTGACACTTCGCTGCAAGCAATCCTGAAAAACCAGCAGGAGAACGATTCAAGGAAAGAAGGGCTAAAAACGAGCGAGTTTGAGTTCTCGGTGGAGGAAAAGCTGGCACTTATTGAGAGGGGCATTGACTTAAAAAATGGGATGGGAGATTCTTACAGCAAATGGGATGAGATCAACATGAATGTGTCCCAGCTCCCTCCAGACAATGTAGTGAGGTTAGAGGACTTGGAGAAAACAAAGAGCGTGCCTCGCGAGGAACTGAGGGATAAGTCTGTGATCAACAACAACACCAAACAAGCCCCAGACCAGCTGGAGAATGGAAACCAGCTTCCAAAGCCGGTTCACACAGATCATCACAATGGACGTGTGGAAGAACCCCCCCAGTCCCCAGCCAAGTATGAGGTTGTGAGAACAGCAACAGTAGGAGTGACAGCGAGCAGTGAGATGTCTATTTCAAGGAGCACTGAGGAACTGTCCCCTCAGAAACGGGGGCCTCCAGGCCCTGTGGTGAAAGCTCAAAGCATCACTAATATTGAGACGGGCACTCTTAAAATCTATAACATTTCCAGTGACAATGGGCCTTATGAGACCAGTGCTGCAGGGCGTGTATCTGTGGCCAGTGCCCAGGGACAAAACATCGTCCGGAGCAAGTCTGCCTCCCTACTCAACGACCAGCCCCTGCAGGTCTACCCTGGCTCCTCCGCCTCATCATCTGACCTGCTGTCCAGCAGTAAAACCTTATCCAAATACGATCCCAGCTTCGTTCAGCAAGGCCCCCATACAGGCAGGGTGCCTGTGCCCACTGCTATGCACGGGCCTGGAATGCCTCAGTACAACATCCAGTACACGAGTAGCACGATGCCCAAAGACAGCCTGTGGACTCAGAGGACGCCAGTTCCTCCAGATCAAGGGTACTTGCCGCCACAGCGGCTGCAGAGGTCCGACAGTACAGACAGCTACACCAAACACGCGGCGGCCAACACAAATTACTCCAACCGCAACAGCGCCCAGGCCTACACCCTGCAACAGCGTGGGGCGGCCAAGCCCGTGGAGATGTGGGCGGTCCCCCCACCGAAAGACAGGTTGATGCTAGCTGGTCCGCGGAGCACCTTGCAGAGGCAGAGCAGCAGCTCCTCTACTGCCTCCATGGCCCTTGCAGACCCTGGCCACCCCCGACGGGTCCCAATGCCGGATGGCGACTACATGACTTACAGGGACATTCACACTATGGGCCGGGGGCTGGCGCCGCCCATGAACCAGGGGCTGCAGAGGCCCCTGTCGGCCAGGACCTACAGCATCGACGGCCCAAACGCACCCCGACCGCAGAGTGCTCGGCCGTCCGCCCACGAGGTGCCCGAGCGAACCATGTCTGTCAGCGACTTCAACTACTCACGGACTAGCCCAAGCAAGCGGCCAAACATGAGAGTGAAGTCGGAGCACTCCTTGCTGGACGCCCCAGGGATGGGGAGGGTGCCAGCAGACTGGAGGGATCAGGTGTTGAGGCACATTGAGGCTAAAAAGATGGAGAAGGTAAGCATCTGTTTTCTGGTACCTGTTGTTGGTAAATGTGCTCTGTTTTACAGGCAAGACGGAGGAGTCAGTACATCACATGTAGAAGATGTCTGTTATTTGGTACAGACTGGACATCGCACAGTGAATGTATTTCTATTTAAATTAAGGCACTTGATAATTTCAAGTAAAGGCCATTCAGAACCTTTTGTTGATTGCTTCAGCTTTGCCTCACTGTAACTGAGTGTTTATTTTCCTGAGGTCTGTGAGACTTTTAGGTTCGTTCCTGAGGATCCTTCTGTCTTGGTTTAAATTGTTATAGGAAATTAGCTGCATTTGAGGATTTGATAGTGCCTTAAACTTAAGTGTATTTAGTCCCCTCCCGGATTGTATTGGTGGATGACTGTGAGGTTTAGTTGACAGACATCAATGTGTAAGGAAAATACTTTTTAGATGTGAATGTAATCTGTTTCTTTTGGATTGATACTACTGCAGCATATTCAGTATTGTTCATAGTTCAATTTCAGATTAAATTTTATTTATTTAGTGGTGAAATTCCTGTATATCTGTAACTGGGATTATTATTTTTTAAAGGATTAGCATGTTCTAAATAAGACTTTCTGTCCCCCTTTAATTTGGGTTCACTGAGTGTTAATGACCTTTGTGTGTATACCGCATAACTTGTCAGAGACATCCACCAATTGTTTTGTCTGTGAGTCCCATGGTGTCTTACTGGAGAGTGAGCATCAATTCGAGAAGTGATGCAGCTTTCACTGCCAGCTCACAGAAACCCCAGTGAGTTACAGCTAGTCACAGGGGTTGGTGTTACAACCTGTACACCTCAAACCTAGTTGTTGATTGCTAATGACAACCAATTCTCTGTTGAGCTGGTGACGGCACCATTGCTCACTGGACTACATAGAAACTCCTTCCTAGTTATTTCTATGTGTCTTGCAGCCTGTAAAGCTTGAGGAGAAGCAAAATGAAACAGACTTAAAACTTCACTTCAAGAAGCAATTAGACATCACAGGAGTTAATTAATGTTAATAGAATGCTGTCTTTTCTCTTGAGGACTTAGTGGTTTTATTTTACTAAAACTTCATTTTCTTGCCAGTATACTTTATAGTGCAGTAAAAGTCTCTGAAGTCAGGGTCCTATAGATAAGAATGCAGTTTTATCTGTGCATTGCCTCTCCTCCTGCGGTTGTCCAATACATCCTTTCAAATTTGATCCTTCACATTTTCTGTATGTGGTGCCATGGCGACACAGATCCTTCCTCCTCTGTTGGCCATTTTGATTTTCTGCACTTTATTAGTATAGTCTAATATTTTTCAGGGTTATTGTTGATGTATTATTTATTTCATCTGAAATATGAACATTCTGTGGAAATACTTGTGACAAATAAAATAAAGCAGCTCATTTGAAGAGAAGTTGAGAATAGGATTTTCTTTTATGGATTTGTCTTGTTATTGCAGAGCTTGAGGCATCAAAGCAGATTCATAACTGTGGCCACCAATTATCTAATAGGTTCAATAGGTAGTAGATCCTGTTAGCAACCTTATGGCTTGATATGGACAGATGCTATTGTCTTTTTCAACACTACTACTATTATTGCAAACCTTTGGGAGAAAGTATTTCAAATTCAATCTTAATTGCATCTAATTCAGAGAAGAATGTTAACGCCTCTTTTTCACTAGTTTTCCCGACTTAGTTCAAGTCCAAGAGGACCCAGAATACGAATGCGAACAGGGTTGAACATTGTATCCCTCAGTCTGCTCCTTTATTTTTTTTTTAACTCAGTCTTGTCTGATGTTCCGGTTGTTGAACATTTGTTTGCAGAAGATATCCGAGACTTGACTAAGTTTTAAAAAAAACAACACTTAAAAAGGTCCTCCTTTTCTTGTCTTCCCCCCCCCCCAAGTCGTGTTTTTCTGTGTCAATAATGCATGACTGTTCCCTCCAGAGCTCCAGAGCACTAACGCAGTGTCACTGTTGTACTAGTCCGCCTGAGACGTGCTGTTCCCTGCATGCTGTGGACCTGGAGTGGGCTGGTGTGAGCTGTTGTGTGCGCAGTGTGGTGGTCTGTGTTAACACGTCTTGTAACGCATGTTTTACTAATCTGTCTGTGTTCAATCTGTGTTCCTCTTTGTTTAGAACATGCTGTCTAGGTCCTTTAATTCCAATATTGCTGCAGTTAGCAGCTTTCACTATGGCAGCTCTAGAGATCTGCATGCCAGCCAAGGCAGTCTTACCTTTAGTGTTGCAGATGGAAGGCATTTTGGAGCACACACGTTCCGCGTGAGTACCTCCCAGTAGGCTAATCATAAGTCCTCTAACTAATCATTCTTGTATAACCTGTTTAAAGAGGCATTCCTTCTTTTGGGGGTATGCAAGACTTAACAAATGTTGCTTGATTTTTGTTCTCAGTTGGTTTTTAGTAATTGTTCAAAGAATTAGGAAAGAGCCTAACACTGTGTTTTAAAGTTTATGCAAATGTACTCCTAATATGGATTCATTTAGGTAGACAATGGATTTCATTCAGGCAAATTTGCATTGACAATTTTCATTTGAATTGCATTTCACACTCTGGCTTTATTTCCAGAAGAGCAAAATGTCGTTCATGTATACATACAATTTTCTAGTGATAGTCATTACTGATACAATACACTGTTGTATTCTAGTCCAAGTGACTCCATTTGGCAAGAGAGAAACAATGATATGTGCCAGTAATTTGCTATAGGGAGCTGATAGAATTGATTATATTCTAGTTAATTCAGTGTGTCTGAAAATTATTGCTTACCTTTTGTGTATGGTATATAAATTTGTCAGCTGCAGGTGTTTTGAAAAATTATGTACAAAGGTGTAGTACAGCTCACACTATATGTTTTTGGCTAAGATTAAGGGCCTTGATCTAATTTTATGGATTAAAATGAAACACAGAAAATGCCTTTCTTTAAACACTTTATCAACAAATTATAGAGCACTTACAGTATTCTTTGTTTCCTCTACATTCCTGACAAATCAAACTGAGATATAGACTGCATAGGTCACTTTAGTTTGGCTTTTAAGAACAGTCCAACTCTTCTCTCTTGACTTCCTTTATCAACATCTTGAAATACTAATGGGGCCTTAATTGATCTAATCTTCTAAGATACTTTTCATTCTGTTTTAAATTACTCCCTAACCTTTCAAATATCTGTAAAAATAAATTGTGTAATAAGAAGGTAAGTGTGGTTTTACTGTTGCAGACTTAGAAGAAGATGAAAAATCAAGGCTTATTTTTGAGTATCAGTTGAATCTTAGGAAAGACTTCTTTGGGACTGGACATGATAGGGACAATAAGAGTCTTGAAATGCTTCTGTAGCTGGCAGTTACTGTAATTAACTAATTATTAACCACTTTAGAAAAGTATTAGGGTTAAGGTTTAAGCGATTTAATTTTGGCCCATTGTAGCTCAATTGCAATGAGAAAAGCTAGCATAGAACGATTTAACGTCAGTAGAAAAATACGGCATTAATGAAAACTAATGGGTTGGTATTTAAAAAGTGATTTAAGTTTTTAATTTCAGAATCAATCCTCTTCATTAAAAGGGGCTATTGCTGCTTTATGCTAACGTCTAATGGATGGCATTTTGTGTTCATACCAGAATGCCCTTGTATGTTTGTCACATGATTGTAGCACATCTGAGAGGTGTCAGCCCAAACAGCCATTCAGTAAGTGCAACAATATGAAAATCTTTCTGTAAAAAAAGCAGTTACTTTACACAGCAGGGTCTTTCACATTCTTTAACATGTTGAATGGTCCACATCTGGCACAGTTTGTAGTGTTTTATAGGTACTGTAGTAAATGGAAAGTTACAACATGTTTAAAAATGAAAACCAACTGATAAATAAGCCTCTTTTTTTTTTGTTTGTCAGGATGATGTCTTTGTACCTCAAGTACAGCAGAGCTACTCAATGGCTGGACTCAGTCATAAGGATGTGCCTATGGATGTTATTAGAAAAGTAAGTTAATCTCTTTTTGTTTTGGATGTCTTTACCTCTAATGTTGACTCCCACTTATGCAGAATGATCTTTAATGCCTTTATTCCTTAAGGCTGTGAAAAAAGAGCATGTTTTTTCAGCCTGTAACAAATGCAAACAAAAATACTTTTCATTATATAAAGAAGGGATTAATAGTAATCATGGAATTTTGTGCATGCCATGAAATAGACCAGAAGAATTGTGTTGTGAACTCATTGTTACTCAATTACATTCTGTGGTAGCCCACAGATGATTAATTAAGCTTCATTCATGAACAGGTTACTTCACTTCACTGAGGATTATTTGTTTTTTTACTCCAGAGGCCTGTACTTGAAGATAGTTTTGAAAAAGTTATAATTACAAAATTAATTCCCATTTGAAGGTCAGTGGGTTTAACCACGTTTTTACGGTTTGTTCTTAGACAAAGAGTTTTCAGAAATTGTTCTTTTTAAAAATGAGCAGATCTAAAACGTGTTTAATTATTTTGCTTGTTGTAATTACTGTATCACTAGTTGACTCTCTAAATGTAAGAGCTATTTTTGCATCAACAAGATGTCTCTCGTATTAAATCCCAAATGAAAATATTCATTTGAGAAATTAGAATAAAACCTTTACTCCTAGGGCACAATGTTATTACACGTATGTGGAATACATACAGTATGTTACCGGAGTGTTTGCAACAGAACCTCAGGGATTATTTCTTCTTGCCCACTTTGAGCAAAATAATCTCCTTGTGAGAATTTGCTTACATTATACAAACTTTATTAATCTTAGTTTCATAGCAAGAATTACCAAACAATTATAGTTCTGCACTTTCCTGGCAATTTTATAATGTTTTTAAAGCTTTGGTTTTACACCTGTGAGGATGTTTAGTAAGATTTGTTTTTCTCTATCAGCACAACTATAAAAGGTTTCCCTATTAAGAACACCCAAAAATGGAAATCTTTCTATTTGAATTTTGACATTGTGTGTTATCCCCAATGACTACTTAGTTTTCTTTGACTACTGCAAAATTAAAGCATTTACAGTATTTCCTATACTTTATATGTTGCTTTGAAAGGGAAGTATAAGTACATGTATATTCTGCAGTGCTTTGATTATCTGCCTTGATCAGGAAAGAGTCTGTTAAATATTAAGAGGTGCAGAGGAAATACAGTACAAAATGTCTATCAATGAGCCCTGTCTCAGTGGCTGCAGTGCTTTCCTTATTTCTGGGAGCTGCCTGGAAGACAGAGCTTCAAATCCCGATCACAGCTGAACCTGTATGGACCCATATCATTGGAACCACTGACATTTGTTCCTTGAGATTTTTTTTGGACAGCAGCATTAAAGATCAGGTCCCGATTATCTGGTCATTAAAGAATTAATATAAGTGTTGGAAAGAGAAGGGGCATTAATCTTGGTGTCCTGCCTAAATTCTGCTCTGGGTTCACACAGTCTGGCCTCTCTGAATTTCCTTAATTCGGTAGGTGAAGCAGTTTTTCAGTTCTCCGACTTCTCTGCTGGACAGTGAGGTTCCTGTTTATGAAACACAAATAGTATCCTTTGACATGAAAAGCTCCATGCAACATGAGCAATTATAATTATTACTTAATTACAATTGATTTTGTGATCAGATTAAATTTACAAATTGAAGTCTTAGGTGTCCTAAGCAGGGATTAGAATTAGTGAGTTAGGGATGAAACAAGCTTTGTTTACATTGAGTAAATTGATGCACCGATTTTAATACTCCTTTTCCTTTTTAAGATGCAGTGCCATCTTGTGTTGCGCTTGGTAATAGTTTTTAGCGCTGCTGATGTTGTTTCCAGAGTTCTGTCTAAAAAAGTTTGTTGCAGTATTTAATAAAAGTTTGGTATTGTAAAACTGTCTATGTTTAAATGCATATAACTCTTTATGATGTTAGTATACAGTATATAAATTGGTATAATATAAATTATTAAATTAATATTAGGTTTCTCCCACTTTTTTAAAAGTGCTGAAAAGCAAAATAAGCTCTTATTGTGCTATCTCTAATTCTAATGATGCCTAGTGATTAACCATAACCCTGGAAGATACTGTAAGCTGCATAACTCTTGCAAGCTTATTTACTATGCAAGGGCAAATAAGGGCATAACAGTGACTGCTCACCTGTATACATCAATCATGGTTTAGAGTGTATTTAGATGGTTCTGCTTTTCAGAGTTCAAAGCTAATATCTTTCCCATAATTAATAGTGACTGTGTGCTCTTAAGCTGATTGATTAGCTGCCTTTTTACACATTCATTCATAATTACACTGTAAGCAGATAGTTCTGCACCCTTATGAGAATTATTAAAATACAGAAAATGTGAATGTTTTATTTTAAGGAGTGGCACTTACATTTCAGGGTTTTCGGCATTTATAATTCATTATTCCTCAGCTGTTGCATAAAACTACAGTTAAACCCTTAAATCCTGTATTTAAACACTTTGCCAAGAAATTGGAGCCAAGATACACTGAAAAGGATGGAATTGCCTTATCTGTCCTTCTGGGATTTTGTTTTCATTCAGAAGGCTATTTTATCCATAAGGAATTAGTAATTATATTAGGTTGTATCTGCTTACAACCTTGGGGATAAAGCAATGAAAGAAACTCATTAAATGTTCTTCTGTGATTATTTGTCTGGGGAGCGGTGTTTTTGAACTAATTATTGAAATCCTCATACAGTAGTATGAAAAGGTTATTGTGAGTGAAAGAGAAAAAATAGATTGCTTGGTTAAGTATCAAGACTCTTTTCTTGTTCAAAACAATTCATAGATATTATCTGTTTTCTTTATTTAGTCAAATGAAAGGAAAACCAGAGAGCACATTCACTACATAGATGTACTGTATATGTGCAGACATTTAAAACTGAATTTTCATTACTTACACCAGCATTATTGTTCGCTGGTAATACGATATAACGTATCCCATTCGTTTTCCTACTTCACTGTATAAATTAAATGGATCTTAATTTTTAAATTTGAATTAGAATGTATTCTAAAAGGATGTTTTGGAAGTGAGGATCTTACTGGAAAACTTTGGTGAATGAAAGTTGTTAAATCTAATCTAATCAATCCAGCACTCTAAATTCACCAGTTTTTAAATTCATCAATACAAGAAACTATAGCAAAGCCATCCTGAGATTTGAGTTATTATTGGAAGTAATTTCTGCCTGAGACAGAAGTTGCGTCCCTAAACTGCAAACCTGAAGGCACTTTGCACAGTTTGGCAAGGATATATATTTTAAACTTAAACACTACTACAATTATTGTATGTACAAATCACTTAATACAATGTGGAGCTCCATGTGCAATTAGCATGGCCTGTAGGTGCTGTAACAAGTCATGCCTAGTTGATGGAGGTAGAAAATTGTTTTACATCCAATATCCCAGAATATCAAATAAAAGCTTGATTGGGCTCAGATCTGGTGAAAGAAAAGGCTGTGGTATACAGTATGGATTACATCAGTGTCATGCTCAACAGACTACTGGGTGACCACATGTGCTCGGTGAATGGGGGCATAATTATTCTTGAAGACATCCACCCGAGCAGGACACAAGTGCTGCCACATGAAGTGAAAATGATCACTCTGTGCCAAAAACACAGGAAAATGTGGTCCAAACATTACAGAACCACCAGAATCCCTCACAGTTGGAACCTTTCACATGTGTCCACTCCTTGGTGGTAAAGTGCCTGTGTACCACTGGACTCATAAATGTGCATTGCCAGCTATGATGAGGGGTTGGTTCCCTCTCTGTGGAGTTCTCAGCAGACTGTTTTTGATTAAACTGACTGCTCACACCCCAGGTTGAAATTTGCAGTCGGTTATTCTGCATCTGCTGCCCTGTTTTGCTTTGCACTTTTAATTAATGCTCATATGTCACAATCTTGGAGTACACCCTTTACAGCCGATACCTGTGCTTCGAATGCTTATGCCTTAGACACTGTTGCTGGTGAAACATCAGCAAGTTGAGCTTTCTTGGACACTGAGGCTGCAGCTAAAAGCACCACAACAATTACCCCTTGTTCAAAGTCCCTGAGATCTCCTCTTGCGACCATGCTAGCAAGAATTATAGGCAACCAGGTCAGTCCAGCATTTTTATGCTGGGATGTTATTTGCTTAATTAACTCATGAGCCATACTTGTGTTGCCTTAATTTCAATATATTTTACTGAGGTGTTTCCATGGTTTTGTCTACTACTAGTATACGTGACTAGCTATTGGATTGGTCAGATGCTATCAACTAACAAGTTAAATTGTCTAAATGACTTTCTCTCACTTGTAACCTTTCTTATGTTTCTTTGTATTGCTAAATTCTCTCTTCACACACTTGTCTTCAGTAAACACCTAATTGTGATCTTTTTGTTTCACAGCAGATTGAAGAGAAACAGCCTTTATGATGTTTTTACCAATTTTATAGTTAGGTAGAACTGTCTGTTTTACCAGGGGAATGGGTGATGGAAATCTAATTTACCACCCTAATTACCGTTATTTTTCCACTTGTTCTCCCCCTGTTCATCCTCACATGAATTAAAGTAAGTACTTTGAAGGTTTTTCTGGTTTGTCAACCAGAACGCAATGTGAATCTGGCTTTGGGCTTACGTCATCAGCTGACAGAGATTGGAAAGGCTCAGAAGGTCTGGTTCTTTTTTTTTAAGCACATTAAATCGTTTAAACTGATGTGCACAAAATGTAGCTCATTGTTTGGAGTTATATTTGCAGTGCAAATAATGACCATTTTTTGGTGGACAAAATTAAATCAACATCAGTCATCTCAGTTCTTTATTTGCAAGAATATTAATACCAATAATATTAAATCTCTAATAGTAAATATAAGCTATAATCTATATTATTACTGTAATACAGTACACAGTACCTAGAAAATGTATTAAAACAGTTTTACATTTTGGTGATTAAAAGCTTGCAGTCATGACTCTTTAAAGTAGCAGTCAATGTGTAATATACAGTACACAACGAACACCACACATTCAAAAGAAGTAAAACTAATTAAATAGATAATATTAAAAATAATGATTGCATAAATATTTACACCATTTGGTTTGGAAAACGTCACGTAAGTCAACAGTTAATGAGTCATACAATTAGTCTGTGTGCTGTAATAGTGGTTTCCATGGTCTCAGGATAAAAATTCCTGTCTTTGTGTGGTTCCTTAGTCAAGCAGTGAATTTCCAGTAGAGTCTCAAATGAAGAAGAATGAGGAGCTTTTCGTGCAAGTCAGTGATAAAGTGATTATTTTTGGTATCTTTTGCCTAATTTCTGGCTTTTCAAAGCTCCAGACACTGCCTAGATTGGGCTTTCCCGAAACTCAGGAAAGAAGTCAAACATGGTGGTGGCAGCATCATTATATGGGTATACTTTTCCTCAGTAAGGAATGGAAAGCTTATTATGATAGAGGGGGAAAGTAGAATGAGCAATGTATAGGCAAATACTAAATGAAAACCTGGTTCAGTCTGCTAAATGCTTAAAACTCATTTTGAATATTCACTTTTTCAACAAGGCCGCAACCACATTGGAGTGGCTAAAGAATAAAAGCATGAATGTCCTTGAGTGGCCTAGTCAAAGGCCTGGCTCGAATCTTTTTCCAAATCTGTGAGAAGACTTGAAAACTGTTTTCCATAAGCGATCGCCAAGCAGCTTGAGAGAGCCCTGAGTTAATCTCCATAGAAGAGTGGGTGAAAATGGCACCAAAACCAGGGTGCAGTGTGTATCATTTGGTAATTTCATAAAATGACACACCAAACTAACAGTCTTGAGTAGTTTTGCAAGGCATTACATAGCTATATAAAAATGTGTACTGTAGTATTATTGTAATATTAGATAACAGTCTGATTTTGGAAATAAGCCACAACATATGGACAGTGATAAGATAAGACAACACATTTTATTTTAAATAGCTGACATTAGGAATGTACTAGCTATGGGTACCAGTAAATAATTGCATATATAAATGTGTTAGAAGGGCTTAAGAGATGCATCTGTAATGAGATTCAAGCTGTATCAGTATATATTCAAGCAGGCTTATACTTCAGTATATTATAAGAAACTGTTCTGTCTTTCTGCCACTTACCATGATACATAAAACGGCCAGAAGAAATAAATTGCTCACAAAGGCACAGATATAGTTTTTCTCCTGATAATTCCTCAAGTTAATGCCATTTTTTCCACAAAGCTTTGCACAGAATGTTACCTTTTCATTTCACCACTTGAAATACTGCACCCTATGGGAACATACTCAGATTTTAATCTCAGAGGTTTCTGAGAATGATTGGAATGAGGACTTCTTATGGGGAAAAACAAATCTTTCGCAAACCCAGTACTGCACATTGGTAAATCTCTATGAAATTTGAGAAAGGAGAATTAAGTTAATGCATGTGAATGATGAGAGAAAAGAGGACACTAGGTTATATTCCACTCAATTTATCTCCCTTAACAGAACGTCTGACTTCGGTGATGCAGCTTGGAGTGTGTTCACTGTACTTTGTGTTTTTTATACTTTATTAATACTGCTCAATATTAATATAAATTAAAGGTAAATGTAAGAAATAACTCGAATATTAAAATAATTCTGAAAAGTAGACATCTTTTGTAAATCTGTTACCAGATTTAGCATTATGACAGCATCACCAGGCTTTGTTAAATATAATCACATGTTCTGTCATTTTAAGACTTTCTGTACAAAACATACTGTTCTAGCTTTTTCTAGTATTTGAATATTTCACATATATAGGACTGATACATCTGTTATGATAAGGAAATCCATCCATTAAGTTTCCAACCACTCTATCCAATACAGGGTAGCAGGCGGTGGTAGCCTATCCCAGCAAGCAATGGGCACCAGGCAGGATACACCCTGGCTAGGATGCCAGTCCATTGCAGGGCCCACACAAACAACACAAGCTTGCTCATACTGGGGCCAATTTTACAAAAGCCAGTTAATCTACCACTTTGTCCTTGGTCTGTGGGCGGAAACCAGAACACCCAGAGTAAACTCATACAAATGCAAGGAGAACATACAAACTCCACTCAGACAGCACCACATGAATTGAACCCAGGGCTCCAGTTCTGGGAGGCAGCAAAACTAACCACTGCAACACAGTGCTGCTCACATTAAGAACATTTGATTTTCAATAGGAAAAAACAGAAAGTTGACAACTTGCTTCCCAGTAAAACATGCCAAACCAACATAATCAAAAGAAAACAGTCAAATTGTTTATGCCTAACATACAGGAAGCCTTTTAATTACACTGTATTTGCATATCTTTGATATTAACACTATGAAAATGAAAGCTGAATTTATTCTTTCATTTGCTAAAATGCAATCAGGGATTTACACTATACACAGTAAGTCAAGTCGGATTGACCGTTGAAAGAAGGAGATTTGTAATTATAGCTTTATTTTTACAGAAATGTTAAAATGCATAAGTACAAATTCTAATTTTTAAGGTTTATGTTCTGGGCTGTGACCATTACAATAATATAGTGACATGCATACTATTAGAAGCAGGAATTTTTCTCTTATTTAACTAACAATATAGATTTTATATTTTGATTTCTAGACCAAAGGCAATGTGATTTGGTTTAGAATGTTCTTTCTTTTAAAGGAAAACATCTTGAACCCTTTTCAGTTGAACAGATGCTACCACATGCTGTTAGCTGTGAAAACAGCAGCAGCAAGCCTGGCCGAGGTTGTGATATTGAATATTCACAGAATAGTCATTGTGCCAAAAAGACTGGTGAACATTTATTTCTACATGTGGAGAGGAAGCTATTTAGTCACGCTGCATGGCGACCTTGCAAAACAAGATTATCGGTCTCTGGTTTAAGCAGGAATATACACACGAGGACCAGCTTAGCTGTGCTTCTAAGGTGCATTTAAAACTGGAAACAGGAAGTGCTTTCTATTCTCAATGATTGTGAAAGTCCGCAACATGCTACCCAGCCATGTTGTCAAAGTGGATACCATTCCTTCATTTCATGAATGGATGAGACCTTCTGTTTAGTTGACAAAGCAACCAGAGGAGCTTTAATGTGCTACAGATTTGCCAATGACTTCCTTTCATTTGTAACTCTACTTCCAGTCTTGTATTCTTAACATAGAAAATAAGGTTCCTTGCATACCACTTGCAAATATATGAATATGTGTAGTAGTTAGACATAAGTTTTGCAGTTTTGTTCATATTTAGCCACTGCCAAAAACAGTACTATTACTTCTTAAAGTAAATCCAGCTTGCTGGTATGATACCATTGACAGGTTGTGATGATGGTCACAGAGTCAGGAAAAGCCAGGAAGGAGACATTCCCTTGGTCTGGGATCAGTGGTTTGGTGCAGAAAGAGATTATATCTAATGGGCTTTTAGCAGTTTAAGAAATCTTTCTTTCTGGGCCATAAGTATGGTTGTACATAAAGAAGACTAGAAAGAAAATGGATGAATTAACACTATTTGCTTAAAACCGAAGAACCAAAATACTGAATGTGCCCTTTTGTCCTTTTCTTTGTATAATGTTACACATTTAAAGTTCATCTAGCATGGTTTGATGTTTTTGGACTGCATTTGAGTCAAACAGTGGATTATTTTTCTTTAATACTAATTTAATGCCAAATGCTAATTGAAGTACCATAGCTTACACACACAGAATATATGAAAACTTGAGCAGGGGCCTGGGTGGTTCTGGAGAGGTTATTGAGCAAAAACCCACAAACATGTCTGTCATCCTTGAGCAAACAGTAATACAAGGTCTAACAAACTAAATTCATTTTTCTCTGAATTCCATTACCATCTTTTAGAAGGAAATTATTTACTGAGTCTACAACAGTAGATGTTGAGTCAAAGATTTTCATCAGCTAATACTGAGGAAGCCAGAAGATACCTCTTATAGATTGTGAGGGGCAACTTGATAAATGTTAAGACATCTTCAAGTGCAAAGTTAAATCTTTCACTGTTTAATTTTTTATTTACTTTCTGCCTACTTGGATTTTCAAAGGTGTTTCTTCCATTCATTAATGGCTTAGTTGAGCACTTTCCTGATTTTTTTAACATTTATGTTTTCAAGCTTAATGTTTTGAGTGACTTGATTAAATCACTCTTTTTCCATGGACTCTTATATGGGCTGTCAGCCCAGCAATGTGTTGTACCCCAAACCGGTTTATCAGAATCACCATCTTGTGTCACATTGTAGAAGAGAAATTGCTAGAATCTACTGGTTTAAAAGATGAATGTCAGGTTATGAGAAGAATACATCTTCATCTCTTACAGGTGCCTCTGACAAACGGACAAATGTGTCCGCCTTCCCGACCGCCAATGAACTGTAACCAAGGGCACTGTCTCCCCGCCCAGGCACCAGTGGCCCGACACCCCTCCAGGGAGCAGCTGATCGATTACTTAATGCTGAAAGTATCCCAGCATCCACAGGGCCCTACCCGGCCACCCCAGGAGGTTCTGCAGCAGGAGGTACGGCCTTGCAGCATTAGTCTGGCATTTTACTGGCATTTAGTCCAGTAAAAAAAATACTTAAGGAAACAAGAGATGTTATTGAAAGACCATGAATAGAAGTCTTCCAACACTCACTCAATAAAGAGGTAATACCCAGTGACAGAAAATTTGCTAAAGTGGTGCAAACTTCTGTAGACTTCTGCATGGGTGTATACAAGGGGGGTCTTGCTTAAGTAACATACTTCTTAACCATGCTACAGCTGTAACGGATACAAACAGAGCACCTGATGTGGTGTACTGTATTTCGATTTTCAGAAGGTGATAAAAATCCTAGTAAAAATTGTAGTTGGTCAATGGAGTGTCAGGGGCTAAAATAACGGAATCTTTTCTGTCTTTAACAAATAAGAATACGAGAGGCTCTCTTATTAGTATTCAGGATCCTCAAGGCATCAACCACGTCGACCTCTGTACTTCTTCAATGAACAGTAAAACATGAAACAGAGGACACACATGCAAACTAAGGGGAAGTGCATTTGAACCTAGAGAAGGAGACATTACACAAAAGGATGTGGGAGTCTGGATCAAGCTACCCAGCCATAAGAGCATTAGCTGATTAATTTGTTCATTAATTTGTGTTTTTATAAATAATGGTAGCAGTCTAAAAGAAGCCACCTTACACCATAATAGTTTCTTAAGATGTAGAAATTTGTGAACTTTTCATTCTTAATAAATGACAGGACATTTTCAGATTATTAAATGTATAAATGGACTTAATAAAAAACATACTTTTAAACTTAATTATGCAGGCATTTCATTAAAGTATAAAATAAGCAATTGCACCTACATTCTCACAGCTTATTTGTTGGCTGAGTCAAGTTTAAAAGGACTCAATTATGACATCATGTAAGGTTGTCAGTCAAAGAAGTTTCTAAAGCTTTCTTGATGCCTGGAGAACACTTCAGTTTTACTCAATCCCAAATTAACGTTTCATAACATTGTATTTGGATATTTTTTCAATGTTACCTGCATGATTCCACACATCCTGCAATTCTGCAGCATATTGTTCTGTGGTCTAATCTAAATTCAAACTCTGCTACTGCTGAGTCTGCCTTTCGGTGGCTTTGTAATCCTCTGTTGTTAGACAATGTCTGCCAAAGTCTGGAATTCTGCAGCAGGAATGGAGCAGATTTCTTCCATAGGAAATTCACTTAGCCCATGCCTGGTAGATGGAGGTGGAAAACATTCCATAAATGCTCAACTGGGGTCAGGTCAGATGACTGAGAAGTGAATACATCAGTGTCATGCTCATCAAGTCATTGGGCAACCACACATGTGGGCATTGTTGTAATTGAAGTTATCCCTCCCTAGAGGAAAATAAATGGTGCAATATAAGAAGATATGATCACTTTATTAGCCATATACAATTTCTTGCATTAGGAATTTCTTTTCGCATACCCCAACTTACTCTCCATGAGATACACAGATAGGGAGAGACGCTTGGGGTCAGAATGTGGGGTCAGCCATTTATACGGTGCCCCTGGAGCAGTTGGGGTTAAGGGCCCAACTCAGGGGCCCAACGGAGCAGGATTCCTCTGCCAACTGCAGGATTCAAACCAGAAACCTTCCAGCAACAGGCGCAGATCCTTAGCCACAGTACCAGCACCCTGGTGGAGGGGGTGAAGATGATCACTGTGTAACTTTAAGTATCAATAACCATTGACCTTACCTTGTAATAAACCATGCCAGGAAAATGTATGCCACACCATCACAGAACCACCAGAACCCTTCACTGTTGGAGCTGAGTACTCGGGGCTGTAGAGTTATTTTGGTTGGCACCGCACACTACTCATCCATTAGTCTCATCCATGGTGAAGAATTATTTATTTGACCATATTGCATTTCTTCACTGCTTCGTATGCTCTATGCAACAGTAGATAGCCAAAAAATATTTGTACACTCAACCCGACTATGGTATCCCACTCTGTGGAGTTCTCAGCAGACTGTTTTTGATAAAATTAGTGGTTCACGTCACAGTCCCTCAAAATTTTCAAATTTTTTGCTTTGCACTCAAATTAATGCACAGACATCACAATCCCGGAGTGTTTCCAGCCAATTTTGTCCATTTCTCAGAATGTCTTTCCCCCGAACCTACATGCTGACATCTCCATAGACTCTCTGTAGCTTGTGAAACATCACAGGTCTTGATGACTGAAGCTTCTGCTAAACATGTCATATCAATCATCCCTCAGTCAGTCACTATAATATCATTTCAGTTCAACTTTATTTGTCATTATACTTACACGGGTGCATGGTATAGTGAAAAGTGTTTCTCATTAGTCTCTTAAGTGCAGTATATAAGTAGAACAGCAGACAAGACAATAGACAGTAATACAATAACAGTTACAATGTAAACAATAGTATGGTGCCAGTGCAGAATTTTTAAAAACTGTGCAAATACGCAGAGAAAAGTATACAAACAGGACAAAAACAGTGCAAAAGTAATTCAGCGAACAGTGAAAACATAATAAAGCGGCAAAAATAGTACGGCGAAAATTAATAAATAGTACAACTAGTCCAGTTTTAAGTACAAATTTGGCTTACATTCAGTCTTCGTGTATGTAGTGGTGTAGGAGTACAGTCATTGTGGATACAGGAAGAAGTGAGGAGAGATCATAGTGTGATAGGAGGGAGTGGGGGCGTTACCAGTTTGATGGATCTGGGGAAGAAGCTATTTTGGAGTCTAGTTGTGTGCGACTGGAGCGTCCGGAACCCTCTACCAGATAGTAGGGGGACAAATAAGTTGTGACTGGGGTGAGTGGGGTCAAACATAATTTTGGTGGCTTTTTTTAAACTCCTGGTGTTGTAGATTTCCTGGATTGATGGTAAGGCATTGACGATGATGTGTTGGGCAGTTTTGACCATGTGCTGCAGTGCCTTATGGTCAGATGCAGTGCAGTTGCCATACCAGACTGTGATGCAGCTGGTCAGTATGCTCTCCACTGTACATCTGTAGAAGTTGGTGATGATCCGTGGATGCAGGCGTATTTTCTTCAGCCTTCTCAGGAAGTACAGCTGCTGTTGTGCCTTCTTGATGAGACTGGAGGTGTTGAGTGCCCATGTGAGGTCCTTAGAGATGTGAACACCTAGGAATTTGAGGTTATTTATCATCTCCACCGCAGACCCTTTGATGTAGATGGGAGAGTGGACTTTTCCTTGTCTCCTGAAGTCAACGATCGACTCTTAGGTTTTGCTGATGTTGAAACATATGTTGCTGGTTCGGAACCAGTCTGCAAGTTTTATCTCCTCCCTGTAGGCAGTCTCATCGTTGTCAGTGATCAGGCCCACGACTGTGGTATCGTCAGCATACTTGATGATGGTGTTTGTGCCAAACTTGGTAGTACAGTCATGGGTGAACGGGGAGTAAAGCAGTGGACTGAGCTCACAGCCTTGAGGGGCACCGGTGTTAAGGGTGAGCGTGTTGGAGGTGAGGTTGCCAATCCTGACAGTCTGGGGTCTGCTGGTGAGGAAGTCTCACTAGCACCCAAAGCCTATCTAGCATTTACAGTATATATGACCCTCAGCATGCTGGGATGTAAGTTGCTTCATGAAGGCATGAGCCACACCTTTGTGGAAGCCCTTACTTTCATTATACTTGGTGTCCCTCATTTACCCAGGTTTCTGCACGTTTTGTCCACTGCCTGTAGGTGTAACTTTTTTATGTGAGGGTAAAGGTCCAGTTCAGACAGCATTTGCTTGACCTTGGTTTCAGTATGCAGGATGTTTAATATGTCAGACTGATTCGATTCAGAATAGCTTTGAGGGACATTTGTTCTGTTCTACTGCCTTGTGCCACTGTGTCCTTCCTCTCTGCTGGATTGGACTCGCACATCAGTAGGGATTGTCAGATTGGAAGGATAACTCTTCAGTAACTGAGTGAAACTACGGTAGCAGCTTTGACTCATTTTCCTGGCTCATTCACCTGTGAGTCCCTTGCCAGCTGCTACAATTTCATTTTTATTCAGTGTCTATTATTACTTGAGGGAATAGAGAAGAAATGGTCAGTCATTATTTTAATGTTTATAATGTTCCCAATACTCTTGATTTTGATTAATTTCCCTCCTCCAACGACTTTTTGTGTGATTGAGTCCTTGTATTTCCTGTCTGGCTTATATTTTGAAAGATGATATTGGCTGTCTTGTAACAGATGGAAAGGAATTCCCGTGTTTTTTCTTGCAGAACTCATTCATGTGGTGTGCAGAGAGTGAGCCATATAAAGAGGTATTTTTTGCTGGCATACGAGAGTCAACACTGGAGTTAAACGGGTCATTGTAATGGCATCAGAGCCCCTGTGGGTTAAGAAGAGTGGAACGACTCTTGTTACAATTTGTCCTTTCAAGTTTTGTATATTGGTTGCGTCTGCTATTTTATTGGTACATGGAGAGCGTAGTGGGGCATCTGTTTAGAAAATAGGACGAAAGAACCAGTTGTCTTCCAGTGTGACAGTGGTATTACAATTTATGGTTTGCTTGTTGCAGAGAATGTCATGGAAGGGCAACCATAACTGGGCTATCTTTTTCTAGAAAAACTAAAAACATTTTGCAACTGAGGGGTACAAAAAATAAGTGATGGTACTTCAGAAAACTTGTGTACTGAACTGAAGTACTTATTCTGTGCCACAGTCCTGAATTTCTTTAGTGGACTTTTTAAAAAGGGCCAATCTACTGGATTCTAATCTTAACAGATTCTTATTGTATTCTGTACTCTAATAAAGCTACTTACTGTTTTCAGGTCCATGTCAAAATTGAGAAGAATCCTGAATTGGGTTTTAGTATATCGGGAGGTGTCGGAGGCAGAGGAAATCCATTCCGGCCGGAGGATAATGTATGTATTTTAAGAGTTTTCATATTTAACATTTAATATTGAACGTAAGGACTTAATTGGAATGAAATGTTAATTCCACACTTAGGACAGCTCAACAGCTAAATGTTTTTCTGCATGGAATTAACTTTTATTTTTGTTTGCAACCAAGCCAACACAAGCTGACGTAGCTCCTCCACGAGTATTTAAAATACTTAATGTTAAATATGCCAGTAAAAGAAAATAAGAGGAAAATCAGACCTGAGTGTTGATGCCCTACGTCTGAGCATATAGTTGAAGACATATACTATGCTTACACACATGGATGTTTGTGTTTTCTTCTCGTAGCCTAGTACTCATGATTACTGTTAATGAATCTTCATCTGCTTTACAGGGTATATTTGTAACACGAGTCCAGCCAGAGGGCCCTGCATCAAAGCTTTTGCAGCCTGGGGATAAGATTGTGCAGGTAATGTGTGGAGAAGCTCTAAAAATAATCTGATCAGATAGTTCACTAATGAGAAATATTTCCACCTCATTTTATTTTACTGCCAGATAGTAAAATTTAACTGAGATGCAGTATTTTGTCAATTGTTCTTGAAATTTGTTTTAATGTCATTCATGCTAAAAAAAGGAAACAATGATTACGTATTTTCTTTCTTTTTGTGATTCAGAGACTGAATTGTGGATCAGAGTATATATTTGTTTTCATTTTCAGTGTATTTCAGACTGCTAACCTAGCGAACAATGGAAACCAGTCATGGAAAAAAAATTTAAACCATTATACATGAACGTTTATAGCAGTATTCCAAGTATCTTGCCATGACTGCTTCATGATATAAAATAGTTTATTACTGCATAAGCAATATGTGTACATAATGGATTTCAATAAAACAGCATTCATTTGAAATAATAATATAAGAATCTGAGCAATTGACTTGCAGAGGAAAGCAGGACAGTATAAGAAAATGCAGAAATATGCATTTCAAGATTCAATTCCATGGATATCTTTTAAATTTTTAACCTTTAGACAAGGAGCATGTAAACCCATTTTCTGGCCAGCACGTTTTCACTAAGCACTTTTAAGCAATGTTCTGCAAACTACAGTGACATTGGATACTTATATTCCCAACTATGGCATTATCAGAGTTCTGTGCTTTTTGAACAAAATATAGCAAATACATTGAATAGGTGTGGATCATATCTTACTGTAACAGTGTAATGATATTTTATAATTTATATTTTGCTAAAATTAATTTAAAGTCACTCTGTACATTCATTTATGCTTATTAATTGCAGTGATTAAACTGTTGTTGAGCATAGCCGGGAAATGATTTCCGTGTTTCCTTTGGTAACATGTCACGTCAAACATTTTTAGACTGTTTAAAAATATCTGTTGTTCATTTTCTAAAAATATATTTTTTTATGGTACAGTATGTGTCACACGTTTTTGCAGAGGTTAATGCTTAATTATATGTATTAGAGGACTGTTCTAATGCTCGTGTTTTTTATTGCAGGCAAATGGATACAACTTTGTTAATATTGATCATGGACAAGCGGTTTCCCTGTTAAAAACATTTCCCAATACTGTGGAACTTGTCATTGTCAGAGAAGTGTCTGCATAGAGCCCTGATCACAAGAGAAAAAGCCCAGCAAGAGAGACCATCTTGAGGGGGGAAAAACAAACTGAATGTTTGCTTCAATATTTTTGTAAACAAAGGAGCTGGTTATATATAAATAGATATATGAACTGCATCCATTAAAAGAAAATTTGAGCTTTGGGAAGGGGGAATACCACTGTGTTAAGTGGAAAGGGCACGCGTCTGGAAATAGGCATTTACAAGGCCTACACTGTGGGATTTTATTTTATTTTTTAACAAAAAGTCAGTGAATGATATACTCCTACATGAACAAACCTGTGTGCTTTCTGTACAGACTTGTAGGTTTATTTTTGAATACTTCATATACATTACTAAATAACATAAAGAGCTCTTGTAGTAAGCCTAAAGTGTAGCCGGTGAGCAGATGGCTGGGCTGTCTGCGGCCTAGATGTATATGCCTTTATTTTTAATCATCTTTTCTAACTTTTAAAATGCTGAAAACCACTTCTGTAGATGTAAGGGAGGGGGGTGGGAGATTTGGAGGACAATGCTATGTGCATATTGTGAAGATGAATGTGGTGCTGGATTGAGTTTTTGTATTTTGGCCAGATTAGATTCAATCTTTTAATTTCCCTGCTAGCCAGCAGTGGTTGATATAGCCAGGGACAGCTTTGAATGGCTACATGTCGTTGTGTGACACAGACCTGGATGTCACCAGCAGTGGTCGTTCATTAATGACTTGGATTCTCATGTCTGGGACGAATCATCTGTTTCTCTGTGGTGTTAGACCTCAGTTGCTTAATACACTGGGGAAAAAAGGGTGGCCAATATTGTCTTCTAAAAAGCCATCCGGCATGCCAGTCTGAGATCAAGTTATGCACTGCTTAGCAGCTTTTACCACCTCACCTACACTTGGTGCAAAGTACCTCTCTGAACAGCCTTTTTTGATGTTTGTGTTTATATAAGTGCATCAATAAATGAAAAACCACTGCCTGTGTCTTTATAATTTGGCTTATGTTATTGAGGTAATTTGTTGTGATGTTATGTTCTATTTAGAAAATCATGTTAAACTATCTTTTTAACGGGAAAGGAGAAATACACTGAAGAATGTCCCTGTATACGTCTCCGAATGTGAAATATCAGAAGTACTGGAACCTGTGAAAAAGACATTGGGGAAATTTGGGAAATATTGTTTGGCCTTAATTTGCCTTGCCTGGAGCACGTGGGAACAGGAAGTGTGTTGCTAGGTAACCAAAGTAAGTGCATGAACTGTGGCACAGTGTTGGCAAACTGCTGAGGATCCTGTAAGTGTGGAAGGGTGGTCGTGCCAGATCCTTTCCATTTTTGTTGGCATGTATCAAAGGGCTTAACTCTTAGGTCTACAACTGCGAATTAACGCAAACAAGGCTCGAGTTATTAAAGGGTTTCTGACACCTTTGTTTTAAGTGGGGAAAAAAACATGATCTGCCTTTCCATAGTGTACAAAGTATCCTTTTAAAAATTAAACTTGACTTTTTTACATTTTTTTAGAGAAAGCTTTTCATACCAGATTCCAGATGAGATTTTACAAAAATGCTAGGTGGAAGGCATGTATACAACTGCGCAGATTAGTAATGCCATAGAAGACCAAGAACTGTTTGAAGCAAGGTACTGATTCACACCTTGTGATCTGAGCAATATTAAGACTGATGTACATGGCTAATGAGGTGTGTCCATCTGATCTAATGTGATACATTTGTTAAATAGCAATAGGTTACATTGTCTCAAGAAAAATATTTGCATTTTTTTATTCTGAAAGGAAACCCTTTAAGTACTCTTGGTTGTTATACAGTATTTTATATTTTTAGTTTTGTAATGAAGACATAGGAACTTACATTTAAAATTTGTAAGGAAAAGCAATGAAAAACAAGAATATGCTTTTTCCCCCTCCCAGAGTCAAAAGTCAAAACTGCCCCAAGCTTTTGATGATGAATAACTTTTGCATCAGAAATCCTGCAGCAGATTTGTGTCGAACCCCCGCCTACCCCTCAGCCTTCAGCCAAACCTAAAACCAGCAGTTTGTGGTTTTAGGTCACTCGCTGTTGTTTGCAGACATTGAACTATTCATTACTTACCTGGAGGTAGCTATCACAAATCACCATTTGTAAAGGGGGGGTAACAGGACTAATATTTGATAAAGGCTGCATGTGCCACAAGGGCAATTTTATATATGGTGTCTATTTTGTTTTAAACTCTTCTGTTGAACCAGTGTTTTTTATTTTTAAATGGAGCAAATAGCTATGTTTACATGTGGCTTCAAACAAGAACCATTTCACACACTGAGAGACTGTGGTGTAAAGAATATTCTGTGCATTAATTAATAATTATAATAATTGCTTACACTTATATAGCGCTTTTCTGGACACTCCACTCAAAGCGCTTAACAGGTAATGGGGACTCCCCTCCACCACCACCAATGTGCAGCCACAACTGGATGATGCGACGGCAGCCATAGTGCACCAGTGCACTCACCACACATCAGTGGGGAGGAGAGCAGAGTAATGAAGCCATGAAGAGTCATGGTTTCTTGTCATCAGATGGACTATTTGTTTCTGAATAACACAAGGAAGCTATTGTATCCAGTCTGGCAAAATTACTAGATCTATTTAGGTCCACAAAAACAATTTGTAAGTCACCTTAAAAATTGAACTTCCATGTAAACATAGCTACTTTCCGCAATGATTTTATATATTTTAATAGGTTCAGTTCTTTAATGATATTGGCATTAAATTGACTGACCCTAAAATACCTAACTTCATTATAAACAGTTTAGTTTATAATGTCTTTATATATTAGTTTTGTGACTTTTCATAATGGGATCATAATGCTGTGGTACAGCGTTTATCTGGCAGATGGCCCAGTCAGCTTCTTTTTGTGTCTTTTCTAAATGGCATCAGACAGAAACACTTCACCCTCATTATGATTTGTCTGGGCATTTTCTGGCACTTTTTTCCCCCACTGTGCACCACATTTCATTTATACTAAATATTTTTTTTTGCCCCCAGTACTTTTGAAAATTCAGGCTTCTCCTTGTACAAAGGCTTATTTTTCTATCTCCTATTACAGGCTATGCTCCTGTAGCTGGAGTCTGAGCACACCGGAGGCACACTTGAATATAAGCACTTCCCTGTCGGAAGCCAGCTTTCTTTCCTTAATTTAACAGCCGCAAATGACTGTTTGTCTCCATTACTGTTTATCTTCAGTTTGTCAGTGAAAAATCATAACCTCAACAAAAGGACGTTGATAATTTGGAAGAATTTCTAGCTTTGCTCCGGTAATTTTGTACGTTTTATGGGGAGGACATAGATCTTTGCAGGAGAATCTCCTACTTTTAGATTCTGTATTCTAATATTGATGACATTGAAGAGACGAATAGCAGGTATAAAGAAGCTAGGTATTGCACTGCGGATCATGCTTTCTTTTGCCAAATCGTTAAAGAATTTCTTCCTTTTTTAAAAAAAAAAATGCTCAGATTAAATCATGTTGCAGCATATTGTTTTATTTATTTAGCACATTGTGTCTGTGATTTAGGCATTACTAATCATGTGTAAATACTTCAAAAATACATAAGGCATTAGTGAGATACATTTTTAAAACCAGCAATAAATGAAATGCAGATACAACCCCTTTTACTGTATAACTCTTTAATTTCAAAGGTTTCTCTGTAAGCAGCTACAATGAAATGATTGATATGCATTTATTCAACATTCCAGATTTTGTATATAATTAAACTGTTTTGAGGTAACCTGTGGATAATAGGAAATAAACTAATGCTCTTTAAAATTTGTTGTGAAAGTGGCTGTTGGTTTTATTTACAACATTCTTTATTATTTAAATGTTCCCTGTAGTTCCCAGTACTCTGTAGCAAGCTGTAAAGAATGTATTTTATTGTCGTTGTGTACCACTTATGAAGCTGAGACACTGAATCAGCAGTTTATTGGAGGAATACAACTCCTAAATATCTCAGAGATTATTTAAAATGAATAATAAATTGTAAAGTGTATATTGTACTCTATATATAGGAGCCAAATTTATTTTTCATTCTCAGTGTTGTAACAAAAATAAAGCGACTTTTATTTGGGCTTAATCTTGAAGCCTACATGCAGAATCAGAAATTTAAATGTGGGTTAAAGGGAGTTTTTGGGAGTCCATTTATTCAGTGGAGGATCTATTGGGCCTCCTCAATATCTATTTTAAAAAGTGTTAAGTGGATGTTCTCCACTAATATTTTCAGAGACAGCACGGATTTAACTGTTATTTTTTATGTCTACATCATCACATGCAATATACAAGGAGAATTTTAGAAATAAGTGTCATGCAAATGTGAAGTGATATGTTAATTTCTAATTCAAATGCTAGAAGTGTATTGTACACCTATATACATGTTATACAATAATTATGCAGTCATATATTCTTGTATAGTAGTTCCTAAAGCTGGACTTTGTACTTAAATGTTTGTGTACAAACAGCAGTAAAAACATTTAGATCACAGTGCATTGTTGGTGTTTTTAGCTAGAAGATGTTATTCTTTTGGGTTTTTTTTAAATTTCAATGAACTTCTACAGCCACTTGGAAAAAAGTAACAAGGGTATATATGCCATATTCTGATGATAAAAATATCAAGCATAAAAGTGTTAGTGTTTTTTCAATGATAATCTTGCCTGAGTTTGTGAATATTCCCTAAGATTATTTAGTTACATAATAGAGCAATGTATGTATACCTTTTTCAAAAACCTTCTCTATATTAACATCTCAAAAGTGTAAACTATACTGATGATCCACAATGTGCTGGACTCAGAAGACAGCTTTTTACTGATGATGCAGAAGCAATAATTACCCATGAGAGGTGCAGCTATACAAGTCTCTTTAAATATTCTAAATGTTGTCAACACAAGGCCAGGTCACTGAAGATTTACCTAATCTGTTCTTGTGGAAGACCAATCTGAAACGATGCTAATGTCATTTATTGGTTTGGACGTTCTGGCCCTGATGGAAGAGTGCTACCTATTGGTCTACCAACACAACTTATCCAGAGATAAGCCACAGAGTTGTCTCTTCTGGATCGGTGTCAACTTACAGGAGTTGCCTGGTTTTCCTCGGGGCACAAGATCAGGATATAAAAGTATAAAAGTTAATAAAAGCTTATAAAAATAGCTCAGTGGTATTTTTAAAATGTAAATAGTTTTGTTAACCTCATTTCTCTTGTCTGTTGCAAAACATTCAAATATTCTGCAAAGGAACAGGTAACGGGTTTATTCCATGCCGAAAAGAAAAGAAAGGAAACGCAACGTTTCCTTTCTTTGATACTTGATACTTCTTCACACCTGAAGAAGGCTCCACGCCCGAAACGTTGCGTTTCCTTTCTTTTCTTTTCATCATGGAATAAACCCGTTACCTGTTCCTTTGCAGCCTACGTATGCTGACGCAGCCACCTACTTGAACTATTCAAATATTCTTTCAGGCTTTTTTTCTTAAAAGTGTGGAATACCACCAAAACCCTAATAGTAAACAGGATTACGATCTAAAATACTTTTAACAGAGATAAATATTGCCCTCTCGTGGTTAAACGAATATAAATGCTACAAAAAGAAATGGTTAACATTACAGTTTGCATCAGGAGAGATTCTCTCATTCACGGGCTGTCTTTGCTGCACACGCACCCGAGTGGGTGGGGGGGTTCGCGCTCTTCTCGGTCCTCCTCATCAGGAGGGGGCGCTTGCGTTTGCGGGTTGGTAATGCGGCAATAGGCCTGCTTTCGCTCAGCGATCGCCATTAACAAGATAAAAAAAACCCTAAAATAGTGGCCAACGCGGCAGCTAGAGAACTTAAATAAAACGCAAGAAGCTGTTTAAGTTAGGGAGGTCAGTTGCTATTTTTTTAGTTTTTTTTATTTTTCAGAGCAGACCATGATGAGTGGGATCCCCGGTACCCCTGTCATTCAGATTACTAACCTTTCCCCAGCAGTGAGCAGCGAGCAGATGCGGACTCTCTTCGGGTTCCTCGGAGAAATCGAGGAGCTGCGGCTCTACCCACCGGAGTAAGTGTATGAACGGGCTGGTTGAAAGCAGGGAAACGCCGGTGCTGTGAAGGCCTGGCAGTTATTTTTCGAGTTGGCTCAAAACAAAACTGTATGTCTTCAAATATGCTGTTTCTTTTTCCGATTTTAATGATAAGACACATAGAATCAATTATTACCTAAGGTTTCTGACCCCATGATATGCGATCAGCTGTTCTTTTCTGTATAAAAAGCTGAAATCGAATCTGATAGTGGATACTCGTATACCTATAACTGAAGCTTAACTTAAGAGGAAAACACACATGGCAGGAAACCGTAACCAAACGTATTTAGAGTATACGGTATAATAGTCTGTAAGACGTTGATTTATATCTATATCATGTATATATTTCTACAAACACTTCTCCCCTGATTCAGTGTCTAGATGAGGTCGTGCAAAACAATATGGTAAATTTTCTCTCCTCTAGTTCACTGACATTCGAGAGCAGTGATGTAATCGTAAGGTTCATATATTTTGGTTGTTAGTTAAATACTGTTTCCAGCGATTCCAATATTTTGTATGGTGTAATTCTTCTTAAGAATGCATTATATGAAGATTGTTCTTTGCTTACTTTCGCCGACATTTGAGGTTTACTGGGCTTATTCAGGGGCTTTTCAGTTTGCAATATCTGTTGCATAGGTAATGTTTTTAATTATTATTCGGTTGAAATTCAAAGCAGTACATTTTTCTGTGCAAAATATATATTTTTCAATTCCTTTTTTTCCTGGTCAGAATAATTCCTTAACTATGCATTGGGTAAAAAATGCACCAACACAGGATACAGTTGGTAGAGGCTTCTCCAAAAAAGTATTGCTGCTAACGGTGCTTCAACTAAGTTTTTGTTTGGGGTGGGTGGGTAAATATGTATACAATCAACATATTTTAATTTTGCAAAGGAAGAAGTAAAGGTTTATTCCATGCAGAATACCCAAAGAAGACTCCACAGCCAAAACGTTGTTTCTTTTCTTCTCTTTTCATGGAATGAAAACCTTTACTTGTTCCTTTGCAGCCTACGCATGCTGATGCAGCTACCTACTTGAACTATTTTAATTTTGTTTTGTTTTTTGGGGGTGGCACTTAACTTTTCTCATCCATCCGTTTTGCCCATGTTTGTGCAGCTTTCCTGCAGGTGCTCCACTTTCCACACAGTCCAAAGACATACTGGCAGGTTAATTGGCTTCTGAGAAAATTGGCCATGGTGTGAGTGTGTGTTTCTGTCTTCCCTGCGATGGATAGGAGTCCCGTACATGCTGTATCCTGCCTTGAGCCCGTTGCTTGCCAGGTTAGGCCCTGGCTCCTCCACAACCCTGTACTGGATTAATCAGTTAGAAAATGGATTGATGGATGACAGAAAGGGGAAGAAATCTTTTTCGGGGCACCGTTTACAGATAAACTAATGAGTCATTAATAGGTGTCCAAAAAGAAACCGACATAATAATTATTATAAGTATATAATACATAATACTTATACAAAACAGGCTGGTAATGATGACTTTAGTATAAACTTGCACCATTTTGCACTCTGAAATTTATTAAGTCTCTTTTTGTCTTTCAGCAATGCTCCACTTCCTTTTTCCTCGAAAGTATGTTATATAAAATATCGAGAGCCTTCAAGTGTTGGTGTGGCCCAGCATTTAACCAACACAGTTTTTATTGACAGAGCTCTGATAGTAGTGCCCTGTGCCGAAGGTGAGTATGGGTCCTATTCACGCCCATTCTTGCTTGTAGTTAAGTGCCTTATAAAAAGGACTAGAAGTAATACTTGTGTGTTATTTGAATTTTTTAAAGACCTAATCTCATGTCTGCCTACACATTAAATATATTTTGTCTGTGATTACATTATTTTTCATTTTTCTGCGATGCCAGGTGAGAAGTGCAATACTAATTGAAGGCCAAATGATGGTGCTGTTTTATCAAAATAACTACACTAATCAACCTTTTCAGCTAGTACAGTTTTCCGTGATTTTACTTCTCAAAATAACTTTTCAATGTTAAATTGGGGTTATATTGTAACTAAATTACTTCAGTGGAGCGTTTTATAATTAATGTTTGCTTATTTCACAGAAGACCTGGATTTAAGGCTTTGGATTCATAATGAAAGTAAAGGAAATTCTTTGCACAATTGTATGTGTGGAATACAGAGGTGTTTTTATTATATTAAAGTTCTGCGAACAAAAGTAAATGTAAATACAGTACCTTTGCAAAAACATCTTGGCCTGCACATCTGCGTCGCAGACATTTTCAGTGCCGTGATAACATGCGACAGTGCAAAACCCATTAGTTTCTTCCATGCTGCATTCCATTTTCTTTTTTTACACAATGTAGTATCACAGCTCCACACAATTGTAGTACTAGTAGTCCTGTTTTGGGGTGGGAAGAATCACAAGCTGAAACGCCATGGCTGAAGTTAAGTTATTTATGTGAATCTCGTCCCAAGGCAGTATTAACATTCGTTTAATTGTAGCCGAACGAAGACCACCTGGTTACCCATTTCAAATTACGATATTATTACTATTATTATTACTATCTAGGGCATGAGGTTGAAAGGAAGAGCACAGGTCTAGAAAGTGTTATTTTACTAGACATTTTTCTTGTCAGGTAGTATTGCTGTCCCAGAGTTGAGATGGTACCAGAGGTAAAACAAGTCGATGGTTTGGGGAGGGGGAGGGGGGGTGTTGAAAGTGGGCAGAAAGTGTTTAACCAGCACAAAAAAAAAACAACTTCAACAAGAAAAGAAGGCTGAGGTAGAAATGCTCAGGTACTTAGTGTTGAACATGTAGCTAATTACGTCTTTCTCTCTCTTTTTTTGTTTTGTTTCTTTTCTCTCTTGGAAAAGCGCTTTCTTTTCTTAAACAGTGGTATTTCTGCCTTCCCTTTTGTTTTGTATTTATTGTCCACGTGATCGTGGTAGATGGCTTCTGAATTTATTAATTTGGTTTTGTATGTTTTTTCTGTGTGATTATGTGTGCATTATCAGATGACTAGACTGGCCAAGGCAGACCTGTTACACTAGCCTGAGTAAGGCTTTGTTTGCCCTGCCACTATTCCCGCTGGCAGCCGCAGCCTTCAAGGGGGAAAATGTGACCGGGAGAATAGCAGCTGAATCCTTCCAAGATGGACACCTTGTCTCTTTTATTTTCTTTTGTTTTCTTTTTTCTTTTTTTTCTTTTGTCCCTTGTTTGCCTCTACTAGGACCAAAAAGCAAGTTATATTGCATTTTCATTAGAACTGTTTTTTTTTTTTGTTGTTGTTGTTTTTCCAGTCCTAAATACTTTATTCCATAACTGCTCTTTCTCACATGTCTGTTTGAAAACCTATCTAGGTGGACGTAAAAAAAAACAAAACAAACATTTTTGTAGAGCTTATGTACTGAACTTGAGCTGCACTTTAACTTTCCCCTTTTTATTTTCAATCATAGGATTGGGGCTTAATATTTCCCGACTGTTCCAGTTACAAACAGATGTGTTTTTGTTAGTATCTCATTTTGCAATGCTGTTTACATTATAACATAAATGAAAAGTCAAAATTAATTAAAAAGCAAGTTAACTGGTTAAACCCTGACCACCTAGTAAGAAAGGAGCTTTTTAAGTTCTGGAAGAAATTGTATTTTAATAAATTCTATAGGCATTGCAGTTATGTACCTTAATTGCTTTGATGCAGTAAAACATTTTTTTAATTGCTGGAGGCTAAGTTAATTAGCCTTATTAAATTAACCCCATAGCAAATGTAATTTTTCACCATATTTTTCATACATTTCATGATTTAAAATGATATTTTGCTTTTGTGCTGGTGTTTTCATGTAAGAGAGGCAGAGTTCTGCTGTCACAACGTAGCAAACAGTCAGTGAGTATGGGGGGAGGGAGTGTAGAGCAAAGTTTTCTCTCCTGTCTTGCTGAGATCATGCATGCAAAACATTTAGTGAGCAGGGCAGAGGGGATGTCTTTTCGTTGGTTGCTCCTTGTGATCATTTGCAGCATTTCTTAGAAGTAATTAGTTTCCTCAACAACAGACCTTAATATGATATATCTGTTGCTGGGATTGTGAATAGCAAAAACACTTTTCGTTTTTAACTTTGATTACAGGCTTATTGTTCCTTTAATTATGCTTTTAAGTGAGAAAAAGAAAGTTTGTATTTAAAAAGCAATTCCTTTTTTTTTGCTCCTATTTGTGTTCAGTGAGTTGCATGTTTTAACCTATTGGCACTTAATATACAGGTTGGATATGCTTCTGTATATAACTCAAGCAGACCCCCGTAACACAAGAGGGGTGGGGGGGTATTGTGGGGGGTGGGGGGTGGTTCAAACAGAATATTTTGTTATTTTGCCTTGAAAGTTTTTGGTTATTTGCAATTTCTGGGGATTCCAATTTAAAAAATGTTCTTCTTTTCTGTATCTGATGTTCTGTGTGCTATTAGTGATGCAGCCAACACGAACGGTTGTCTTGTGTTACACAACTTTCCAACACTGCGAAACGATCGCCTGGGAAAAGCGTCCATGCTTGATATCGTATGGTTCATGACCAATAAGTTTCCAGTACAGGTGACCCATAGCTCAAAGTGTTAACTAATTCTCTTCATTATCTTGCTCTTAAAGAAGGGGAAAAATCCATTTTTGTTTGATTCATTTTGAAAATTTCAAGTATATTTAATTCTAGCCTATTTATTTAGTCTGATAAATTGTAAGATAATAGAACAGTTAATAGTCTTGTCAATTTGACAATCAGTGGAGTTATTCCGTTCAAGTGGAATTCACTGAAAGCAATGAGGATGCTTGGTTTTGATGCAAGTGGTTGTATTATCAGGAGTTTCTCACCTTGTAGTATAGTAAGGGTTTAGGTGATATTTTTTTTTCTTTGTAGAATACTGGGGTGCTTATAAAGTCATATAAAAAAGGTTGAACTCTTTCTACCATTATTCTCAGTAACACAGTGTTTTTTTGCCCTGCAGGTAAAATCCCAGAAGAAGCCAAAGCCCTGTCCCTTTTAGCTCCTGCCACTACAGTGGCCAGTTTGATACCAGGTGCAGGGCTGTTGCCAATACCCACACCAGCCCCCATCCCATCCGTAAGTGCCTGTGCTTCCACAGAAATTACTCTTCCAGTCGCAGAGATCTTTTCATTTCGTCGCAGTTATTTTACTTGTTCTTGTTTGGCAGCCTACTTGGTATTCAAAGTTACACTTGAGTAATATTTGTGCCCGGTTAAATTATCCTCCAGTTATAGTAATAATTGCTTGCACTTATATAGCCCTTTTCTGGACACTCCACTCAAAGCGCTTTACAGGTAATGGGGACTCCCCTCCACCACCACCATTGTGCTGGATGATGAGACGGCAGCCATAGTGCACCAGTACACTCACCACACATCAGCTATCAGTGGGGAGGAGCGCAGTGTAATGAAGCCAATTCATTGATGGGGATTTTTAGGAGGCCATGATTGATAAGGGCCAATGGGTTACACCCCTACTCTTTTCAAGAAACGCCCTGGGATTTTTAATGATTTTTAATCATCTGAAAGACGGTGCCTTTTTACAGTATAGTGTATACTGGGGCATTAGGACCCGGACAGACCACAGGGTGAGCGCCCCCTAACACCTCTGCCAACAGCAACCTTAGTTTGCCCCAGGAGTTCTCCCATCCAGGTAGTGACCAGGCTCACACCTGCTTATCTTCAGTGGTTGGCCAGTTGTGAGTTGCAGGGTGATATGGCTGCTGTTAGGTGTGTTAAACACATGTTTTTTTCTCTGCAGACAGTCAGTTTCTAATGGAAGCTTGAGTAACAAATGTGGCTTCAGTACTTAAATCTGCGCTAATCTTATCTACTTAAATTCTGATTTCTCGATATGCTGTAAAGTAACTACTATGATATCTGTTTCTCAGGGAGTTTATATGTCAGATGTTGTTAAAAGATAACTTGAACCTAAACGCAATAGCCTAATACTAGTGAATAGGCTCTTGTCACGCAACTTTCCTGTGGTATGTTATGATTAATGAAAAGAGGGGTGTTAGAACATTTTAAAATTATATTCTTTAGTTTGTGTGGGGGAGATCTTGTAAGATTCCCTGAGCACTCTGCTCAAATCCTGATGCCATTTTAATATGAGGTAGCTTTGTTTCCTAGTATACTACTTTTCTGGTGAATATAAAGAAAAATCCAGATGTCTGCCACTTTGTGGGGGTATATCTGTTTCTGTTATCATTTTTGTAATGTTTTCAGGGGAACAGAAAATAGACATGTTTATTAAAAGGATGTGTCTCTTTTCTCTTTTTTCTTTCCCCATTGCTCTTAAAATTAGAGAACCCTGTGGCTGTTTTGTTTTTTTTATGTAGCGAAAGTCACAAGGCTCACTTGAAAAAACAACTGCTAAACTGCTGGTCTTGGATGTAAACCAATATGCAGTGTCCTTGAAGAGTATTGGGACCGCATAGTCAGAACTGTTATTTCTGCTTTACAGTTGGGCAGTTTGAATTTGTGTCATTAGTCTGACTTGAAACTATTCAGTTGAACACAGTGTGTTCAAATACGATAGGAACTAGGGCTGGGCGATATGACCAAAAACATTATCATGATAAAAAGTTTCATATCAATAGATATCGATAATTATCACGATAAATGTCAAATCATTATTTCTTTCAAGTTTAAAGGCAGATTTTTTTCTCCTGAGTGAAAGTTGAAGAAACCAGACAGTTAATTGGTAAATTAAACAACTTTTTATTTTAAGAACACAACAAACACTTGCCAAACAGCAGAAACATTAAACAAATCTGAGGTAGAGAGTATTCAAGTCTTTTTTATGTCAAAATATGCATGT